GAAAGTGCTTCTCCCAGAGAACATGGGGGCTCAGGCTGTGTCAAAGCGGGGGGGGGGGCGAGAGTCCATTGCTCCCTCTTTGTTGCAGCCCCCCCGAGTCCTTCCATGAAGGCCTCCCAAGCGATGTAGTCTGGCTTAGGTTGTCCCCCTCTGTGAAGGGTCTTACCCGTCATTGACTTCCGACCAAGCTTTGGGGGCAGGGAGAGGAAACTGAGGCAGCCTTTTGCTACCAGAGACAAGCTTTGTCTCCTGTGGCTCGCCCTTAGCCACAAGGGATCGAGATACAATTCCTAAAACTAGGCAGAGCCGGCTACAACAACTTTACATGTATTAATGAATCTTCACACCAACCCTGTAAGATAGGTAATAACCCTCATTTAAATCTTTTTTAAAGATCTTAAATTTATTAGAGAAATAAGGGAGGGAGCAAGAGAGAGAAACAGCCGTGTGTAAGAGATACATCGATCATTTGCCTCCTGCACACTCCCACCTGGGAACCTGGCCTGCAACCCAGGCATGTGCCCTTACTGGGAATGGAACTGGCAACATTTTGATTTGCAGGGCAGCATTCAGCCCACTGAGCCACACCAGCCAGGGTTCTTTTAAATTGTTTTTAAGGTTTTATTTATTGGGAGGGGAAGGGAGGGGGAAGGAGGGAGAGTAATATTGATTGGTTTCCTCTTGCATTTCCCCAACCAGGGACCTTTCAGTTTGTGAGATGGCACCCAGCCCACTGAGCCACACCAACACCAGTCAGGGCACGTACTCCTGTTTCATGATGGGAAACCTAAAGCACAGATAAAGAAGCTTGTGCAAGGGTGACAAAGTGGTTAACTAGAGACCTAGACTTACTTTGTAGGCAGTCTGGCTATAGAAGCCATGCCATTAGACCTGGATATGCTGGCTGGATTGAGGTATAGGTTGGAAAACGTCTTGTGACAGAGCCTGTGGAGACTTTTTGCTCCGTTCATACCTAGTATTTAGCTTCCTCTTTATCCCAGTCAAAAGTCCTAGCTTTTCCTCTTTTGTAAGGGGCTCTAAGATAAGCCTACCTACCTTTTGTTGAAGTCCTTGCCTTTGTGATGTTAATAATTCCCTTGAGTTTTAAAACCTTAGGTTAATTCTGAAATAAGTAAAAAAACATCTTGGAACAGGTAGTGCTTGTGCCCTGACCGATGTGGCTGAGTTGGTTGGGTGTCAGCCCACAAAATGAAAGGTCACTGGTTCAATTCCAAGTCAGGGTACGTGCCTGGGTTTGGTCTCCTCGGCACATACAAGAGGCAACTGATCATTGTTTCCCTCTCTCCCTCGCTCTAAAAATAAATAAAAAATTTAAAATACCACCTTTATAAAGCAAAAAAAAAAATGAAACCATAAGAGTACTAGAACATGATTTTAAAATACATTGTGGGGGAATAATAAATGCAGCTACATTAAAAGGTTTGCATGGCCAAGACTAAACGGGACAGGGAGGATGTTTCAACAGTATGAGTTGATTTCCTGAATCAACATTTAGGACTTGGCAGTTGAAAAGATAGGGCATCTAGAAGAATAGACAAGAGTGGATTCCTGGCCAACATGGAAGCACAGGTAGATACACTTTGCTTCCTCACACAGCTGAAAGAAGAACAACAAACAATTTGGGGGGGAAACCAACCCAAAACTGCCAGAAAATCGAACTGTATGGAAGTTCAATAACCAAGGAGTTTAAAGAATGTAACATTCATCCAGACTGGTAGGAAGGATAGAGAGGCAGCTGGGGCAGAGAGGATGCCCAGCAAGGTGGTCCCACATCTGCATGTGGATAAACTGGGAGGAGCAAGTGGGGAGTGAGACCATGCTGTCCAGGGTTCCAGCGTGGGGAAACAAAGCCTCAAAACCTCTGGCTGTAAAAACCTGTGTAAGTTGAGGCAGCAGGAGAAACTCCCGGTCTCACAGGTGAGTCCCTTGGAGGGGACCCACAGGGTCTTAGAATGTACACAAACCCACCCACCTGGGAATCAGTGCTAGAAGGGCCCAATTCATTTGTGGGCAGTGGAGGAAGTGACTGAAAGTGGGGTAAGAGCCCAGCGAGCAGCACTGTCCTCTCTCTGACCCCTCCCCCCACCACAATGCCACAACATAGTGCTGTGGGCTACTCCACCCTGGTGAATACCTGAGGCCAGATCCACCCCTTACAATGTAACAGGTGCTCCAAGACAAAGAAATAAGACCCAAATGAAAGAACAGATCAAAGCTCCAGAAAAACCTGGGTAGTGTGGTACAGTGGATTGAGTGCTGGCCTGGGAACCAAAATGTGGGTTTGATTCCCAGTTTATGGCACATGCATGGGTGCAGGTCAGGTTCCCAGTAGGGTGCGTGAGAGGCAACCACACATTGATGTTTCTCCCTCCCCTTCTCCCTTCCCTTCCTTAAAAATAAATTTAAAAAAAAATTATAAAAAGAAAAACTCCAGAAGAAGAACTAGACTACAAGGAGATGGCCAACCTATCAGATACAGAGTTCAAAACACTGGTATCAGGATGCTCACAGAAATGGCTGAGTATGGAAACAAAATGAAGATGTGAAGGCTATGCAAAGTGAAATAAAGAAAAACATACAGGAACCAAGAGTGAAAGGAAGGAACCTGGGACTCAAATCAACCATTTGGAGCAATATGAACAAATAAACATTCAACTGGAACAGAATGAAGAAACAAGAATTCAAAAAACTGAGGAGAGGCCGTGGAATCTCCAGGACAACTTTCAACATTTCAACATCTGAATCACGGGGTGCCAGAAGGAGAAGAGGAAGAGAGAGATATTGAAAACATATTTGAACAAATAATGAGGAGAACTTCCCCAGTCTGGCAAAGGAAATAGACATCCAGGAAGCTCAGAGAGTTCCAAGGAAGTTGGACCCAAGGAAGCACACACCAAGGCACATCATAATTACATTAGCCAAGATTAAAGTTAAGGAGAGAATCTTAAAAGCAGCAAGACAAAAGGAGAGAGTTACTTACAAAGGAGTGCCCATAAGATTATCAGCTGATTTCTCAAAGGAAACCTTGCAGGCAAGAAGGGGCTGGAAAGAAGTATTCAAAGCCATGAAAGGCAAGGACCAACATCCAAGATTACTCTATCCAGCAAAGCTATCATTTAGAGTGGAACGGCAGATAAAGTGCTTCCCAAATAAGGTCAGGTTAAAGGAGTTCATCGCCAAGCCCTTATGACATAAATTGTTAAAGGGACTTATCTGAGAAAAAGAAGGTGATAAAAAATATGAAGAGTAAAATGGCAACAAAGTCACTACTATCAAAGACTGAACCTAAAACAATAACGACAGTAACTACTAAAACAAACTAAGCAAACAACTACTAGAACAGAAACAATCACAGAAATGGAGATCATGTGGAGGGTTATCAGCAGAGAAGGGGTGGGGGGAGAATGGGGGTAAAGGTACAGGGAATAAGAAGTATAAATGGTAGGTACAAAATAGGGTTGCCCTGGCTGGTGTGGCTCAGTGGATTGAACGCTGGCTGGGAACCAAAGGGTCACTGGTTCTATTCCCAATCTAGCGTAGGTGCCTGGGTTGCAGGCCAGGTCCCTAGTAGGGGGGGGCACAAGAGGCAACCATACATTGATGTTGTTTTCCCTTTCTTCTTCTCTTTCCCTCTCTAAATAAATAAAATTCTTTTAAAAATAGGGGGTGGTTAAGAATAGTATAGGAAGTGGAGAAGCCAAAGAACTTATGTGTACAACCTATGGACATGAACTAAGTGGGGGGATGTTGGAAGGAGGAGGGATGGAGGCTGGGCGCAGGGACAAAGGGGATAAAGGGAAGAAAGAAAATGAGACAACTGTAATAGCATAATTACTAAAATATTTTTTTAAATAAGCAAAGGGTATAAATGGCTTCAGAAAAGCAAAAATAAATAAATAAAACATGAAGAGAGGCTTAACCTTATTCATAGGGATATGCAAATTACACAAGTTTTATAAATACTTGGCAAGGATGCAGGAGAATGGGTCTCAACACATGCTTTGAGCAGCAATTGATGGGCCTCAGGGCTGTTTGACCTGGCAATTCCACTCCTGGGTGTTTATCCTATGGATTCAGATTCACGTACATATGAAATACTGTACATACTGGGATATTTCTTTCAACATTGTTTGCCACAGTGAAATGTTGGGACTAGGAAGGTTCTGGCTAAAGAACATCCGTGGAATATTCCCCTGCAATGAAAGACTTATGGTGAGTGAGACAGCTCCAAGTGCATTGATGTAGAAGAGTGTTCAGTGTTCAGGTGGAACAGCAAACTGCTGACCAATGGATGCTCTTTTATGATGTTCACACCTACATATGTAATAGGTATTATATACTTGAGAGTGCATGGAATATCTTTGGAAGGACACAAAGTGATAGTGGTTGTCTCAGGAAGGAGCCAGGTTGCTGCAGAATAGATGTGATACCCTGTGGCACCTTGAGAATTTTGTACTATGTGCATTTATTATTAGTGAAAACAATTTTAAGATTGAGAGGAAAAAAAAAGAACAAAGGGTTCATTAAGCCGGGCATAAGCTCTTTTCGACAAATAACATGTTTTGTTCTCATACCCTATTTTCAGAGGTATTCTTTTTCTTCAGCTCTACCTGGGGGCTCAATAAATAATAATTGGCATAAAGAACCTTCTAGAGTGTGCTGTCTCCCCCACAGAATTCCTTTGAATTCCTCTCTGCTTTCCCTAGCAGAGTCAATTTTGGGGATCCCATTTGGATCTTTATACATCATGCCCACTTATAGGTATCTAACTGTTCAGTGGGATCAGTTGGGTAGGAGAGGATAGGAGTATGTCTACTTGTCTCTCTAGTCTGGGATGTCTTTCTTGCTAGCCAGGTTGGAGATGACAAACTTCTAACCTCTCTGATTCTGTTCTCACTGAAGCCTAAATCTGGGTTGAGTGAGGCGGTCTCTTTAAGAACTGGCGTAATGGTCCCGCCCTTTAAAGAGATCATCTGAATGTAAGTCACATGACTCGGTGTCTTCCGATCTCTGCATGCGCAGCCGTGAGGAACCCCACCGGGGTTGGGGCCGCTGTGACCCCAGCCCCATTCTCTTCCTGAGTCTTTTGTCCACAGCTCCACTTGGCCTGCTGGGGGAAGAGAGCCGTCAGGTGAGGGGCTGGAGCAGCAGAGGTTTCAGGAAATGCTACCCTTGAAGCCCGTTTGGAATCTAGGGCAGCGGGCGGGGGTCAGGAAGTGGCTGCAGAGAGAAGTTCTTCATCTTGGGGCTGGGTGTGAGGGCTTCCTGTCTTCTGGGAAGTCTGGACCCTGATTCAGCCCTGAGTGACCCAGATGCAGCAATATTAGTTTTTTTCTTCTCTTATCTCTGTGTCCTGATCTCTTAACACGGGTCCAGGCAGTTCTGGCTCTTCCTCTCCTTCACCCACCTCTGCCCTTGCACCAAGATTGCCTTAGCCCCCACACAAATTTCTCTTGTCTAGGCCCCACCCTGTCCCCAGCATTTCCCAAGTTCCCTTCTTGTCCCCACAAGCTTCTCCTTTGCCCTGTGTCTCTTCCTAATCCTGTTTTCCTCACTCTCCACTACGTCATGTTCTAGGTGTCTCTGGTGGTCATCCCTAGCAATGTGGGCCCCCCCCAGAACCTGCTTCATATCCGGGCAGTGGGCACCAACTCCACGCTGCACTATGTGTGGAGCAGCCTTGGGCCTCCAGCAGTGCTGCTGGTGGCCACCAATACTCCCCACAGCATCCTGAGTGTCAACTGGAGCCGCCTGCTGTCCCCTGAGCCTGACGGAGGCCTGATGGTGCTCCCCAAGGACAACATCCAGTTTTCTTCTGCCCTTGTCTTTACCAGGGTGAGGATATTGGGGGAGAACCAAGGGGAAGAGGAGAAGGTTCATCAAATTGGAGGCACGGAAGCCTGGGTGGGTGAAGTAGAGTCAGGTGTGAGAGTCTCGGCATGGGTTTCAGTGAGTGCTGGGTGGGGGGCGTGCTTCAGGAGAGAGCTGGACTCAGGCAAGCCCCTCCCCACGCTACTCCACCTGCCAGCTGTTTGAGTTCGATAGCACCAACTCATCTGATGCGGCAGCAAAGCCTCCGGGGAAACCGTACCCCCCATACGCCTTGGCTGAGTTCTCCTGGAACAACATCACCGACTCATTGGATCCTGCTACCTTGAGCGCCACATTTCGAGGCCACCCCAATCATGACCCCACCGGGGCTTTTGCCAATGGCAGCCTGGCCTTCAAGGTAAGGGTGTGGCAGTAGATGGACTCAAAAGGCTGGTTTATGAGGGTGGGAGTTAATGATGGGGGTGTCTTTCAAGCACAGGCAGCCATCTGCTTCCTATGCCCCCACTGCCTCATCTGTCCTAGGTGCAGGCCTTCTCCAGATCTGGCCGACCGGCCCAACCCCCTCGCCTCCTGCACACGATGGACACCTGCCAGCTAGAGGTGGCCCTGATTGGGGCCTCTCCCCGAGGAAACCGCTCCCTTTTTGGGCTGGAAGTGGCCACCTTGGGCCAGGGCCCCGACTGTCCCTCACTGAGGGAGCAGCACTCCATCGACGATGAATATGCACCTGCTGTCTTCCAGGTCAGGCTTCCAGGGGAGAGATGGGTGGGGGGAATGTAGGTCGAACCTCAAGTAGCACCTCAGACAATCATTCAACCACTTACCAGTTAGCAACACTTTATTTAGCTCTTTTAAGTGCTGGGCGCCATGTTGATGAATTTGGCCTGGACAGAAGGCAGGCAGTACAGGTGGAACTCGGTGCTCTGACAAGTGGGATGTGCAGGGGCCTAGAGGCCCAGAGGAGGAAGTGAGCACAGGCTTGCAGAGAGCACGGGGCTAGAAAAGCACATGTGTTCGTTCACCCAGTCCAACTCCCCTCTCTACAGAGGAAAGGTGGAGTTCTAGAACCAGACCAGGACTCAGGACAATTAGTGTGACAGGTGGAGTCTGAGAAAGGGTGGGGTACAGAAGGGGCAAGCACAGGGTGGTGCTCCTTACCTTGTCCTGTGTGCCTTCCTCCCTAGTTGGACCAGCTGCTATGGGGCTCCCTCCCATCAGGATTTGTACAGTGGCGACCAGTGGCTTTCTCCCAGAGCCAGGGGAGCCGAGAATCAGCCCTTCCCTGCCAAGCTTCCCCTGTTTATCCCACCTTGGCATACATTCTCCCCCAGTCACCCATTGTTCGAGCCTTCTTTGGGTCCCAGAACAACTTCTGTGTCTTCAATCTGACCTTTGGGGCTTCTACAGGACCTGGTTACTGGGACCGACACTACCTCAGCTGGTGAGAGTTTGGTCCTGGGCAAGGGTTCGGGAGGTTGAAGGGGAGGAGGGCTGGGCCTCTCAGCCTTCCCTCCTAAGCCTACTTTCTTCTCTTTCTCTAGGTCGATGCTCCTGGGTGTGGGTACCCCTCCAGTAGATTCCTTGTCCCCGCTAGTCGTAGGAATCATGGTGGTGGCCCTGGGTGCTCCAGGGCTCATGCTGCTGGCAGGAGGTCTGTTTCTGCTACTGGGCCCCAAGAGGTACTCAGAATACCAGCCCATAAATTGAAGCCCACTCTTTAAAGGGAACCACACTACTGGACCTGTGTGCTGTGCTTCAAACCCCTGCAGGTTTGAGGGTCAGTATTCCCAGCCAGCTTCTCCCCTCTTGCTTTACTGCAGAAACTCAGAGGCTAGCCTCAAGTCCTGGGAACCGCTGGGTGGGGCTTCCTTCAGACCCTAGAGAGGGACCAGGGACAGGGTTATTGCTGGAGAGAGGGTGCCCTTAGAGTTGGCTCCCTGCCCCTCCAGCCCCCACTTCTCTAGGATGGGACTCACAGGCCGCAATGAAAGGCTTTCTGACAGCTGCTACCTTGCGGGCATGAAATAGATAGACTTTTTCCACAGGGCTTGCCTCTCTGCGAGTGTTATTGGGTTGATCCCAGGGAATGAGAGGGCTAAGAGATGGGTGTGGAAGGCAGGTTTCTGTGTCTGGCCCCATTTTCTCACCAGGTCTATTTCTCTGTCTTGACATGAGACCGAGGTTCCCGCCAGCCACTCTCCATCATGTGCAGCAGGCAGGCTTCTGGGGCAGTAAGAATCAAACAAGGAAGGGACACTTGAGACTAGGGTGCATACATGAAGAAGGAAACCAAGTAAGACTGTGGTAGTCGTTTATTGTTACACCCACCCGCACGTACACCTCACATGGGGCCGACACCAGCCATGTGCCTCTCAACCCCTCCCCGGCCACCACATGCGTGGACGCAGACAGATGGGCACACACACACACACACCTCTTGGGTTTTCCTGTCCGCTCATCTCTTCTGGGCAGTTTGGAGGTGGGACTTTACAGGGGCCTAGTTGGTTGGAGGGGAGGAAGCAGCAGCTCTGGGTTGGGGAAGGTGTAATAGTCTTGGCTGAAGCTAAAGGACCTGTGAGGGCCAGTCATGAAGGGTCCTCAACGCAGGCTCCCAGGATGGTTTTATGGGACATGAGGGTCCTATTTGACCTGATGTCCAGCCTTTACTTTTGGGCATGACCAGTATTTCCAGTCTCTGTGAGGCCCTCTGCTTAGACAACTGGCACAGAAATGGTCAGAGTTTTGGCTGCAGCTCTGCCCACTGCCTCTCAGGAGGCTGGAGAGTGGAGCCAAGTCCAGCAGGGGTGCACCCTAGTGGCTGTGGTGGGAGGCTGCTCAGGAAGGAACCGTGCTTCTCCTCCCAGTCCTGGCCCTACGCCCTCAGCATCCTTAAGGAACATGGCTGTGCACCTCCTTCCCTGCAAGACCATGTCAGTCCACCTCCCCCACTCATGACCATCCCAGGCCCAGAAGGTAAAGGGCATCCTTGACTGGGGAAGAGAGGTGGGGCAGTCCAAACTCTGATTGGATGGGACCCTGTCAGATCAGCAGGGTTCATCCCACACAGGTACCCAGGCTGGGGACAGGATAGCTGCTCAGCCCCAGGGGCGGGGCCTATAGTCCGAGCGGGCGTAGTCAGGGTAGTCCAGGCGGCTCTCTGTGGCGGTGAACATGCGCTCAGGCTCCACCACGAACATGTAGTACAGGTTCCACACTAGCATGGACAGCAAGGGCAGGAACGTCAGGCCGTAGCCAAAGCCTCGGAAGGAGCGGCCCACGGCGAAGGTCAGCCAGTATATTAGCCTGCCAGGGCGAGAAGAGGTCAGTCTACTCCCAGGGCAGCTAACTGGCAGTAGGCTAAGGTGGGGAGAACAGAGAGCCAGGGAGGTAGATGGGTGCTGGTAGATATGACTGGTACTTTTACGTGGTTCAAAATTCAAAGGTACCAATGCTTGTAGTCAGATGTCTTCCTCCCTCTACTGACCCCCAGCTTCCTGTTTGCTCCCTTCCCTCTAGTCCACTTCTACTCCCACCCCTGTCATCCAAAATTACGTACAGGTTTTTGTGCTAGACGTGGTTTTTTATGTGTATATGAGCAAAAAGATTTGTTTTCCTCCCTCCGCCCATTTTTCACATTGACTTTTTTCCCATTCTATATACCTTAGAGATTATTTTTATCAGTATATAAACACCTTCCTCATTCTTATTTCCCCTTTTGCAGATGAAGAAACTTGATTCCAAAGGGGTTAAGTGAGATTGAAGTCACACATCTGGGAAATAGCAAAACCGTGATTTGAACCCAACCCTGTTCATCACCCTCTCCTTCCATTTCAGAAAGGCAGAAGAAAAGAAGAGAGTAAGGAAGGCAGCTTCAAGGGGGCTTAAAGCCCAGAGGGATAAATAAGCCATAACCACAGCTCCCCTCTTAGAAGATCCACTAGAAATATATACCCCTCTGGGGGAGGGCAGCAGCTTCCTCTTAATATCTGAAGGACAACTTATTACATAATTGATGTACCTGTAGGTTTTCACCTGTTAAAAAGGGAAGAGTAACTGCTGTTTCTCTACTGCATCAGAACACACTGCCTTCTGGGGCAGTAGAGATAATGAAAATTCACATTTAGCAAACCCTTCCCCAGTGCCAGGCTACTGTACACACTCTACATGAATTAATTCATTTAATCCTCACAATGGCTCCATTTTATAGACGATGTGGATGATGAAACCGAGACATGAAATGTGTAAGTAACTTGCCCATGTTAGAAAACAGAGGACCTTGAATAAGGGAGGGAAAGGACTGGGATTCAAGTCCTGCCTTTTCTGCTGGCTAACCTGAACAACTCTTCTCCCCCAATCTGTCGTGATTCCCTCTCTATGAAATGGGTCAGATGGACCAGACAATCACTGAGTCGCCTTTGGCTCCCTGATGGTTCTTACTGCTTAAGCCAACTTGTATCTGAGACCAGCATCCCCTATAGGAAGGTGGAGTTACGTGAGCTGAACATTTATCTCAGGAAACATCTAATGCAGGGCTGGCTGACAGGAGGGTAGAGGGGCAGGTGACCACCAGACTACAATCAGAAGTAACAGGAAGACAAGCCCTGGCTGGTGTGGCTCAGTGGACTGAGTGCCAGCCTGCAAACCCAAACCTGAAGTAACAGGAAGACAAATTTTAGCTTGATAGGAAGAATGTGTTAGTAGTTAAAGCAATCTGGAGTTGTATATAAAAAATGACAAAAGGAAACATACTACAGAAAAAAAGGTAAAGACCTGCATTTATTTGGCTTCAGAAATTAAAAGGTACCTTCTGGGCTAACCGTAGTTCACATAAAAGCACCCCTAAGGGTTTCAGGTGACTATAAATTCTAAATGAAAAGAAAGTAACGTGGCTGCCATGAGAGCTAATGTGGATTTGGTTTGTACGAACAGAAGGACAATACCCTTGACAAGCAGGAGAATTTCCTGCCCAAAGGACCCAGGACAGTGAAGGGATCAGGGCCACTTGGCAGAGTAAACGCTAGGGCAGCAGGCTGTTGGAGTGGGGGAATTTAGAGCTGTTGTCAGATGTCCAGATTTGTCCTAGGCAATTCCAGAAATCAGTCAGGGTAACAGTTTTTAGCACAATATAAGGAACTGTAATAACGAGGACCCTTGAAGAATGAAACAGACTGCCTTATAAAGAACTGAACACTTGGATGTAGGGGGTGTTCATCTAGAGGCCAATGGCTACCTGATCAGACTGACAGGAGTGGCTGCAATAGGTGAGGGGTTGGTCTGCATGACATATGAAAGCCCTTTCAGTTCTAGATGGTATAAGTGTCTCTGAAATCAACTTCCAGTAGGGAGACATACAAGCTGATCACCTGCCACTAGGTAAGATAAGATGCAAGGGATAAAGTGAACTCACCTTTCCAGGGCACACAATTGGGCTGATGAGGGGTCCAGAGTGCTCCCTGTCCCTGGCTCTCCAGACATTCAGACCTGGGTCCCTCTAGCACCGTGACCTTCCCTGTGCCCCATCCCCATCCCCAACTCACCGGGAGACCGCAAAGAGGCCAGTGAGCAGAGGGAGCAGTTTGAGGGTATCTTGGGGCAGGTAGGTGGAAAGCACAGCCAGGTTGAAGAAGTAGAGGATGAAGAGCTGGACTGACTGGGCCACGTACTGCCGGTGGATCTCGACCTCCTGCCGTGGCTCCCCAAACGGCCGCAGCGCAGAAAAACACAACAGGCTCAGCCCATACACCAGGATCCCTGGGTTGGGGGTGGGAAGGTGGAGAATAGAACGAGGTCAGAATAGAACCACAGGCAGGAAGCAAGGGCAGGGTTTGTAGTGGAGAGCTCATGGGTATGGGCTGTCCACAGTGGGTCCTGGGAGGGGACGGGCACACAGGATGGCAGGTTGTTTGAGGCCCTGAGGATCCAGGCTGAGTGAAGGGAAACTCTCCTGCTCCCCAAGCCAGGTAGGCTCTGACCTCAGGTCCAGTTTTCAGACGCCCCCTTCTCTCAGGGCCCCAGCTCACCCAGCACGATGGGGAAGGTGGCGAAGACCCCGCAGCGCAGCGTGTAGATGAGGCGGGAACTCATGGTGGGCAGCCGAGGGGCATCAAAGGGCAGGAAGGTGTACGCTCCATATAGCAGGCAGGGGAACAGGATGAGGGCGGCTCCCACTGAGGCCACCGCCCTCAACCCCTCAGGACCCCCGCAGCTCCCGCAGCTGCTACAGGCATGTCCTGGTGGCCTTACCGCAGCCTCGGCCCACTTGCGCTCAGAGGGCTCCAGGTGGGTGGTTCGGGTGGGCAAGAAGGTCTGGTGGTGCTCTCCCTCACCTGCCTCACGGCACACAACGAGGTCCTCCTGAGGCTGCCGCTCAATGCATTGCAGGTCGATGGGCACAAAGGCCCGAACAGCCTTTTCAGGCAGCAAGTTGGCATCATCTTCAGGCAACTCCTCTAGCTTACTGAGTGGCTCTGACTGCAGGGGCTCAGGCTCAATGTCCCGCCAGCCAGGGGGGTCCGGGAATGGGGCACTGAGCTGGGGGCCAGCCCCCCAGGGCAAGGTGGCAGCCTCACTTACTGTGCTGTCTAGACCATCCTCAGCCCCCTCTCCAGCTGTGGGAGACCCAGCTGAAGACCCCACTCTAGAGGACTCAGCACTGGGGGATTTGGCCCCGCTCTCTCCTTCTGGCTGCTGGCCATTGGGGACCAAGGCCTGGGGTGGGCTCTTCTCTGGGGCCTCAGGCCCCTTCACTTCCAGCAGGGCCAGGGTCTCGGGTTCTGTCATCTTGGGACCTCAGTTCTGGAGGCTATGGTGAGGTCATGTCACTGTGGAGGTTAGCAGAGGAAAGCTCTGTCAGAAGCTCCTGTCCTCTGGCCCTTCTGATGGGTTGATAGAACTGAAACTCTGCATGCAGGGCAGCTGGCCTCAGGAGAGTTAGCCCTTTCTGGGACCTAAGGGAGAACATGGTATGGAGGAAGGTGATGAAAGAGAAGGCAGCAGGATGGAAGTAAGCAGCTGAAATGGAGACACCTTTTCAACATCAAATGCAATCCAGCAGAATAGGGTGCGTCAGGAGGCACAGGCCCTGGCAGCTTTGCCCTCAGCCAGTCCCCACCCACACCTTCTACCCACCTCCACCAAAACCCCTAGGGTCACTGCCACCCTAATGCAGGAATGGGAGGAAGAGGAGGTGTCTAGAATTTTATTAAGAGGTCCTTTCCCACTAAGGATCTTCTTGTGGACAGAGAGACTGCCCCCTTGACTTTCAAACCTCCCCTTCTCCCTGCAGATCCCCACTCGGAACTCTCTTGGCAACTGATAACAGTGATTTGCTGACAAATCTGTCCCAAGGAACTGGCGATAGAAGTGTACCCTATTCTTTAGTCTCCAGTCTGGGTACTGGGCAATCTCTAAACTCCTCACTAGCTCACCTCACCCATCTCCAGAGGGCCTAGGTCTGTGCATTCTGACTTCTAGGTTCGACCGTGGCTGTTTCCTATATCTCTGCTCCCGTCTTTCTCCTCCCCCGGCCATTCCTTGTCTCACTGCTTTTTGATGGGGCTGACCCCCTCCCTCCACCTCCTCAAAGGTCTCCTACCCCTTGGCATTTGGACCCATGACACCCTCTTACTTTCCATCTGGAGAGAGGTGGAGGGTCCCCAGCTTCTGCGAAGGAGCTGCCCAGCTCCCTGCTGGCTCTGCAAGTATTCCTTTCTTTCACTTTACCTGTGTCTCCAAACCAGTCTGACCAGAGCAGGTGGGGCCCAGATTAAAGGGGCAGGTCCTGCCCTACTGAATCAGCCGACAGAAAAAGCTTTAGAGGAGGAAGTACGTCATCCTTTCTGAAAGTGTAGGTGCAGCTAGGCATAGAAGTTAAGTGTGTGTATTAGGCAAATGGGATATATAGGAGCTCCCAGCTCAGGAAAAGAAGAGGAGGACCATCATGTTTGTGCATCAAAGGGTGTTTGGAGTAGGTTGGAATACCCAGAAAAGAGGGAATTTCTACACTTACTCATTCAATATTTATTGAGCACCTATTTTTAGCTAGGCACTATTCTAGGCACAGAGAGGGGAGAGAACAAGATGACAGGCAAGAACTCTGCTCTTGAGGAGCTTGTTCTATTGGCGTAACATAATAAAGAAGCCTAGCAACTAAATCAGTAAGATTAGCCCTGGCTGGTGTGGCTCAGTAGATTGAGCACTGGCCTGTGAACCAAAGGGTCACAGGTTTGATTCCCAGTCAGGACACTGCCTGGGTTGTGGGCCAGGTCAACCCAGTGGGGTCCTCAAGAGAGGCCACCACACGTTGATGTTTCTCTCCCTCTCTTTCTCACTCCCTTACCCTCTATAAAAATAAATAAATAAAATCTGAAATCAATAAGACTACTTCAACTACTTCAGTAGGAAAAACCTCTTTGCCAGGGTGCCATTTGAGTTGAGACCTGAAGGGAAATGAGGAATGTGAACGTTTCAGGCAGAAGAACAGAAAGTGAAAGACCAATGATTAGGAAAGACTTAGGCTATTTCAGGAACAGAAAGAAGGCTGGTGGCTGGAACCAGGAGCACAGCAGTGGAAAAGGGATTTATGTTCCCATGACAACAGGTACACAGGGCTCCCAAACTCCTAGCTCTTTAGCTTAGGTTTAAGGTCAAGGAAGCATTAGGAATCCAAGGTGATCTTTCCAGTGGGAGGGCCGGGGGGCAGAACCGTGAGGGAGTGGCTTTTCATTCCTGTGGGACCTTGCCTCTAAAGTCATTTGAGCTTTGTGAGGCCGGTAGAGTGTCTGTCTGGGTTGCTCATCTTTGTGTCTTGCGAACCCAGCATTGTTGCTGGAGAACACAAGGTGTTCAATAAATGTTTGCTAGACTGTAAATCTTTGGGAGGGAGAGCTGAAGGGCTCAAACACTTGTACAAGTCATCTCTTGGAAGGTCTTACTCATGTTCAGCCCTTTACAAGAAAACTTTCACATACATTTTTTGTTTATTTGCTTGTTTAAATAACGGGGAAAAAAAGGGAGACTTGGAATCACTCTAACCAGTAATCTGAAAGAGACTTGGGAGGAGCTGAATAAATACAGCCAATAACCACCCTGGGACAAAGCAAAGTTAGGATCCCAGTTCCCGGCACGAGCCCATCTACCACTCAGCTTCAGCCCCTTGGCTGGGTCCACTGTCCGCTCTCTGGTCAATAAAGGTTTTCTTGAGGGGTTGAAAAAGCCGGAAAGAGGATATGATGCCCCGAGTTAGTTCGGGCAACTTCCCGGGAGGGAAAATGAGTTTCGCGAGATTTGGTGGTAGCAGGCCACTGGCCCACTACTGTGTAGCTGCTATCGCGAGACTTGGTACGCGGAGGAGGAGCCGTCGCGGACAGCCGCCTCACAGCGATGGCGGCCAAGCAAGGCCGGCCGTGGTGGCGACTGGGGCTACGGTCGGAGGCGGCAGGGGTGGCGGTAGCGGTGGGTGGTGGGGGTCTGTGACCGGGAGTCATCCCCGGGCCCTGGCATCATGAGCCAAGGCCCCGCCACAGGGGAGAGCATCGAACCCGAAGCAAAAGTCCTCCACACTAAGCGGCTTTACCGGTGAGAGGGGCCAGTGAGTGAGTGCAGCAGCGGAGGGAAATAAGGGGCAGCAAGGGGTGGGGCCTCTGGGCGGGCGGTGCCTCGGTGCGTGAGGAGGTGGAGGGTGCAATTTTGGAGGGAACAGGGGGCGGGGTCTCGTAACCCGGGAAGTAGCTGAATGAAGGAATTGGGTGGGTGGGAGGTTTGGAAGGAAGCACGTGGGGAAATCCCCTCCGCGGTGCGTAGTGAGCTCGGAGCGGGTACCGAGCTTTGCGAATTTGGGGTAAGGCGGGAATTGAGGGGATGGGAAGGTAAAAGGTGAGGTCAGAGTTGGAGAAAAACCAGGAGGGGAATAGTGTTTGGAACCTTGTAGGACTTCTGGGAAGAGCTCTGAACTGAAACCAAGAGAGCCAAGTTCAGGGCCTTACCTTGCCATCTCTCACTCTGTGACCTTGGGCAGGAGCGTCATCATCCTTAAAAGGAGAGATCTGGATTTGATAACACCCTGAAACCCCTTACGGGTGGATCTAGTTTTGGGGAATCTGGATGAAAAGAAAGGCCGGAAGACTGTGTGTTGGACTGGAAAGGCTATGATGGACTTTGAGTCCTGAGTATTCTTAGGTCCTGGGAGCCCATTTAAGGGCACCTGGGACTCCTGATTCCTGCCTTCTGACCTTATGCCTACAGTCTTTTGCTAGGCAGCTTACATCCTTGGTTTCTGATTTCCACAGTGCCACTCATTCCAACATCTTCAGCCCTCTATGTTGGGAACAGGCCAGTATGAACTCTCCCACCCTGGGTCAAGGATTTTTTGTATGGAGCAGCTGGAACATGGGCTGTAGAACTGAATCAAAATAGAATGATTTTGATCAAGCATAGAGATCAAGCTGAGTTTTTTGCTTTTTAATAGGGAGTAGGGCTTGCAGTTTTCATTTAGCTCAGGCTCTACTGAACAGAACTGTTCACATGAGAAGACTACCCTATGAGCCCAGGGGCCTGTCCTGGCAGTGAAAGAGTGAAGAGCAGGTTGTGCTTTTTCCTTTGAGTAGGCATCCCGCCTTCTCTGGCTTCATAAGTCAGAAGACTGGGGAGTATAGGCTTTTCCCAAAATAGAAAAGTGATCCAATCCAGCAGCTCCTGCGCTTCCACTGGGCTGCCTCAGTGGTGAGGAGGTGTCTGGGCGTGGGTCATATGCCTTGTCATGCCGTCAAGTGTCAGTGCTGCCCATCAGACAGTATGGGCAGTGTCTGCAGAACTCCTATGTCTCAATAGTGAATGAGACGCAGGTAAAGGCAGTGGTCATCTTTCTGATCATTGTCAAATGTAGCTCTTCCTCAAGTCACAGCCTTCATAGGACTGACTGACTTAAGCTAATGTGTTTGCACATGTGGTTAACATGGGTGTCTCTGCCTGTAGTTGTGTGCTGTTGGCTTTGAGTACAGCGGGAATCAGAGTCAAAAGGTCTCTCTTTTTATTCTTTTTTTAAAATATATTTTATTTATTTTTAGAGAGAGGGAAGAGAGGAACAAAGAGAGAGAGAAACATCAGTTGGTTGTCTCTTGTATGCACCCTGACTGGGGACCGAACCCTCAACCCGGGCATGTGCCCTGACTGGGAATTGAACCAGCAACTGTTCACTTTGCGGGTTGCCTATCCAAATGAGCCACACCAGTCAGGGCTCTTTTTATTCTTCTTTTTAAAAAATATTTAATTTATTTATCTTTAGAGAAGAAGGGAAGGAGAGAGGGAGAGAAATATCAATGAATGGTTGCCTCTTGTATGTCCCCTGCTGGGAACTGGCCTGCAACCCAGGCACGTGCCCTGACTGGGAATTGAACCGCGATTGTGTGGGTCGCAGGCCCGTGCTCAATCCACTGAGCTACACCAGGCTCTTCTTTTTTTTTTTTTTTTAAAGGATTTTCTTTTTTTTTTTTTTTTTAATATTTTATTTATTTATCTTCAGAGGGGAAGGGAAGGAGAGAGGGAGAGAAACATCAATGTATTTGCCTTCTTCTCCCCTGCTGGGAACTGGCTGCAACCCAGGCATAGCCCTGACACGATCCAGGCCCGCGCTCAATCCACTGAGCTACACCAGCCAGGGCTCTTTTTATTCTTTATTATAACACGGAGGGTGTGACTTTTCTGCCAAAGATAAATTTGTTCCTAGACTACAAAACTGTCAGTCTGAGCTTTGTAAATTTGGGACATTCTCACAGTGAAACTTTTCAGAAATGAAATTCTGAGAAAAAAAATTTTTTAAGATTTTATTTATTTATTTTCAGAGAGAGGGGAAGGGAGGGAGAGAAACATCACTAGGCTGCTTCTCGCTTACCCCTAAATGGGAAACTAGCCTGCAACCTAGGCATGTGCCCTGACCGGGAATTAAACCTTTTGGTTTGCAGGCCACTCAACCCACTGGGCCACACCATCCAGGGCTGAAATTCTGAAATGTTTTAAGCCCCTCAGAAGAAAAAGCAGCTGGAGAAGAGATGTTGGAAGGGATACAAGCACCAATTAATTAATTATCCCAATTAACTTAACATATATATGCGTATATATATTTTAGAGAGAGGAGGGGAAAGAAGCATCAATTTGTTGTACCACTTATGCATTCATTGATTAATTCTTGTATGTACCCTGACTGGGTGGAGATCAGACCCATGACCTTGGAGTATCTGAATGATACTCTAACCAACTGAGCTACCTAGTCAGGGAATATTTTTCTTTTTTTTAACACTCTGCTTGTCCTGGAATCACAATAGCGAATGAGACACAGGACAGTTTTTGTGGTTTTATTCTAAAGGAGACTACAGTTTAGTGCAGGAGCTTGGGATCTGATGCAGAATGGAGAAAGATATCCTGAGTCCTCTCAGGTTTAAAAATTTGCAATTATCACCCTGGCTGGTGTAGCTCAGTGGATTCAGCGTGGGCCTGCGAACCAAACAACCACGGTTCTATTCCCAGTTGGCACATGCCTGGGTTGCAGGCCAGTTCCCAGCAGGGGACATAACAAGAGGCAACCATACACTGATATTTCTTTCCCTCTCTCCTTCCCTTTCCCTCTAAAGATAAATAAAATCTTTGGGGGGAAAAAAAAAGAACTTGCAGTTATCCCTGGCTGGTGTGTCTCAGTGGATTGAACTCTAGCCTGTGAACCAAAAGGTCGCCAGTTTGATTCCCACTCAGGGAACATGCCTAGGTTGCGGGCTGAGACGCAACACATTTATGTTTCCCTCACACATTGATGTTCCTCTACCTCTCGTTCTTTCTCTCTTCCACTCTCTAAAAATAAGTAAATAAAATCTTTATTTTTAAAAAAATGATGAGTGACTTATTAAGAGCACTGATAGAAGGAATGGCAAGGAAGGAAGAGACATAGGAAATATTTAAATATTTTATTTATTTATTTATTTTTGGAGAGGGGAAGGGGGGATAAAGAGAGGGAGAGAAAAATCAATGTGTGGTTGCCTCTCATGCACTCCCTACCTGGGACCTGCCCGAAACCCAGGCATATGCCCCAACTGGGAATGGAATTGGCAACCCTTTGGTTCACAAGCCCACACTCAATCCACTGAGCCACACCAGCCGGGTGCAATAAATAAAATATTTTTGAAAAAGAATTTGCAACTAGAATGTCTTAGAATAGTGGTTATTAACTTTTTTGCATTGAGGATCCAAGGAGAGCTCTGAAGCCTGTCCATAAAAATACATGCACATATACACACGTGCCTTTCACCTACTTTGGACTGCCCTGGGGACTAAGCTGGTATAGAATAAATCACTGATAGCTGCCTGATGCTGCCCCTGCCGTCGAGGGCCGGGCTGAGAAGTGCTTGACTCCTATGTGTAGGCATTCAGTTGGTAGAGTGTCATCCAGAAAGTGTTTGAAGAAATGCTGAGCTCTCAAGATTGCTTGTGAGAAGGCCTTGGGTACCTATTGTCCTACCCACTCATCTGGGTTCTGGTGGTCACTTTGCCCTGTAAAGGGCAACTTTAGCAGTGTACCACCTGAGGCACTCGGGGTGCTCGCCTGCTGTGGCCCATCTTCTGTAGCCCAGAAGCACATGTTTCAGTATTCTGAAACAATCTTGGATTGTTTTGGGAATGATTGCTCCTTGGTTTTTGGTTGCTTTTGTGTTCATAGTTATAGCCAGTTCAGCTGTTCTCCCAGCTGCTGTCTGTCATCCTCTGGGTTTTACCCTTCTGGAGATGACCTCCATCTGGCACTTATCAGCCATCTGTGAAGTTTCCTTGGCCTTTTCTGTTAGTGGCTGGAGTCTCTCGGTCTTTTAATAAGAAAGATGGAGACTCATACATATTGAGCATTTAATACATACGAGGACCTGTTATGAATGGTTTTTGTATTGACTAATTTAATCCTCACAAAGTAGGTGATAATGTTATTCCCATTTTATAAATGGGAGAACTGAGAAATAAGGAAGTTACGTATTTTGCTCAGGACCACAAAACTGGGAAGAATTAGAGCCAGGATTTGAACCTAGGCAGTGTGGTTCCAGAGTCTACACTCTCTGTATTGAACAAACAATTCCTTCAGCAGAATCCAGGAGACCTTGTGATAAGGAAGCTCAGGAAGCCCCCCACCCTATTTTCCCATACCCCACTATTCCAAAACAGAATTTTATATTATGAATACCTTTCCTTTCTGTCAGAGATAATATGTCCTTATAGTAATTCATTCATTCCACCATTATTGAATGGCTACTATGTACCAGTGCTATATAAAAATTATTTTATTTAACCCTGACAACAGTCGTTTGTGGTAGCTGCTATTATTTTCTCCATTTTTATGGATGTGGTAACTGAGGCTAGAAGAGGTTAGGTAATTTGCTGCCTGAAGTTAGAGTTAGTAAGGGATAGCTAAGGTTCACGCCCTAGATTTTCTGCCTGGCATCACAGTCGATGCTGTTTCCCTTGGGAGGGTCTCCTTTCCCATATCACAGGGTTTCTCTTCCTTGACACTTTAAATTTTGGGTGGGGTAGTTATTGTGGTGGACTGTCCCGTGTATTGTGGGGTGTCTAGCACTCTCTAAATGAGTTGTGACAATCAGAAATGTCTCTGTCATTGCCAGATATTCTCTGAGCTGGGGGCTGCTGTATCAGGATGGAGACTGGTGATCTTGTTTTCCTTTTTAAGAAGAAACATTTTTTTTTTTAAGATTTGATTTTATTTATCTTTAGACAGGAAGGGAAGAAGAGAGGGAGAAAAATATCCGTGTATGGTTGCCTCTTGTGTGTCCTCAGCTGGGAACTGGCCTGCAACCCAGGCATGTGCCCTGACTGGGAGTCGAACCTTGATCCTTTGGTTCACAGGCCTGCGCTCAATCCACTGAGCTACACCAGCCAGGGCTTGTTTTTATTTTTAAAGAGCTCATCCTGCATCCTTCTCATTTCCCCACCCCTAATTTTTTAGCTCTTCCTTTAGGGTCAGTGCCTTAGTATGCTAGGCGGATCATTTACATGGCTCAGGGGCTGTTTTCCTGTATTTCCCTGCAGGGCTGTGGTGGAGGCTGTGCATCGACTTGACCTCATCCTTTGCAACAAAACCGCTTATCAAGAAGTGTTCAAACCAGAGAACATTAGCTTGAGGAACAAGTAAGCTGGAGATACTAAATCATAGGTCCTTACAGTTTCTCTACCTCTCTTGACTAGAAACCATCACGTATAGATTCATGTTCTTTCTTACCTCCTGTCCTTGTGGTACAATTATGGGCTGTGGAGCCTCTGGTCCTCCTAAGAGAGGAGATGGCGATCCTTCACTCTCAGAGGCTTCTACATCTGATAGACTGGTGCCATAGAGTGGCATTTGAGTTAGGGAAATTGGCCATAGTACACAACAGAAGGAAAAAAAGGGGGGATAAAAAGGAGGGGAGGATGCACGGGAAGAAGGTGAAGGTTATTAAAGTTCTTACCGCTCCTGTCTTTTGGGGCTCCTGCCGCCTTCTAGCACAGATACTGTCCTGGGTCATAATGACTGAGCCTGGATGTCTCCTGGGAGGGCCAGAGCTTTGTTGGTAGGGTATTGGCAGATACCTCCTTGCTTTCATTTCTTGTGTTGTTCATCAAGGAATGGGTAGTCTCTCATGGTCCTTTGCACCCTTCCAGGCTGCGTGAACTCTGTGTCAAGCTTATGTTCTTGCACCCAGTGGACTATGGAAGGAAGGCTGAGGAGCTGCTATGGAGAAAGGTATACTACGAAGTCATCCAGCTTATCAAGACTAACAAAAAGGTAAGGGAAGATCCTGGCTCTTGGGAAGAAATTTTTTTAAAGAGGGGAAGCTAAGGAAGGAAGAGACAGCTAGGAAAGTGGGCCAGAGCATAGCTGGAGATAGGGGAGCCAAAGAAGAGATGGCAGAAGGGAGGGAGGGCATTAGATAGAATTAGGAGTAGGGAAGGGTGGGAGCCTGATAGCAGAAGGGGAGACCTCAGGGCAGAGTAGATTTAAAGATGTGGGGATTGTTCATAATTACGAGGAGTTGTGGATTAATTTCCAGAGCCAAGAAGAGAAGTTTATTTCTTCACTGAGATGAAAAAGGTTAGGGAGGGAGAAGCGGTGCTCTGAGCTTGTTGCTTAGCCGTCACTTCCCTTTCCAAATCTCTAGCATATCCACAGCCGGAGCACCTTGGAGTGTGCCTACAGGACACACCTGGTTGCTGGTATTGGCTTCTACCAGCATCTCCTTCTCTACATCCAGTCCCACTACCAACTTGAACTGCAGTGCTGCATCGACTGGACCCATGTCACCGACCCCCTCATAGGTTAGTGAACTCTGAAAGGTGAGCTTAAGGGGCATGTTCATATGCCTCCACCTCTGGTCTTATCCCTCAGGGTTCACATAGCTTGTGACCTGGCCAGGCAGACAGGGTTCTGGCAAGACCTATACATGCTGCATGAAGTTTGGATTTACCCAAACAAGTATATGGATTAGGGTGAAGGTCTTAAGAAAAAAGAGAGCCTTCTGATGTCTGAGGTTGTAGAATGATGTAATCATCTGGAGTCAGTCTGGCACTAGAAGATGGTATTAATAGCGTTTGTTTTCTTCGCCCAGTTGTATTTCATTGGCACTGTTTCTTTTAACTTCAGAGATCATTTCCCAGGGTTTGATGAAAGTATTGAAATTTTCAGAAATGTTGGATATTCTTTCAACATAATGCAAATCTCTTTTTTAGCCATCTCGGGTATTGGCAGCTATAGTTTACCTCCCTTTTCTATAGTTGGTAGTTTGCTCTCCAATTCAGCCTCCCTTTAGTGCTCCTCCCCTCTTTCTCCAGACCCCCTGCCTGACCAGGACATGGACATTGCGCGCCAGAGGTGGAGGTTTTGTTCGTGCTGCCGCATGGAAGCATTTTCTGGTCAGACGCCCAGCACTATATTTTGAGCATTTAAAACCATCATTTAAAAATAAAACAACATTCATCTGAGACAGCACACATAGGCTTTATAAACCAGATGGCCAGAGGGTTTGTAGCCTAAAAAAAGATTAAGAACCTTTACTTCAAAAGGTTGGTTCCCCAAACCACTTTAGTTTTTTCTCCTTTATTGATATTTTCTCCATTCCACCAACTAAGAAATGTCTCTCTAGAAACATTAAGAAGGGTTTTTCAGAACGGGAGCTGCAAACCCAGGAGAGTGGCTGCAAGGTGGAGTAGCTGAGAGGGTGCTCTCTAGAGCCAGACTTCCCTTTGAATCCTGGCTCTGCCACTCACTAACTGTTTGACCATGGTTTGTTCGACTGTGGTTTCCTTAGTTGTAAAATGGGAGTCAGAAGAGTAACTATTTCATGGTGCTGCTGTGAAGCTCAGCTAAGTTGATATTGTAAGACACTTAGACCAGTACCTAGCACACGGGAGACTGCCTCCCAATGAGCTCAGGCTTTCTGAGCTGCAGTTTCAAGAAGGTGAAAGCCCAGTCACCACCATCCTCAGGCAAAGGCAAACTCACCTTGTCTCCTTCGTGCTCAGACTGTCCAATCTGTTGCCACCTCCTCTATGGTCCTCTTCTCCTAGGCAGGAGCCAGGAGCATTTACCTTGGCCTCATTCACATTCCATTTTTTCTTTCTTTTTTTTTTTTAAATATTTTATTTATTTATTTTCAGAGAGAGGGGAAGCGGTGGGGATATAGAGAAGGAGAGAACATCAATGTGTGGTTGCCTCTCAAGTGCCCCCTACTGGGGACCTATTCTGCCACCCAGACATGTGCCCTGACTGGGAATGGAACTGGTGACCTTCGAGTTTGTAGGACAGTGCTCAGTCCCCTGAGCCACACCAGCCAGGGCCCACATTCCATTCTTCCTGGAAGTTTCTATTCTTTACCCAAACCTTTTACCTTTATATGGGAACCTTCTACCCAAGGCACCCATAACTGTCCTCACACTTGAGCCTCACCTCTTCTTCCTTTCTAGAAGCCTTCTTAGGCTTTCTAGAAGGTCTAGATGACCTTTCACATGAACTTCCTCCGGGGGCTGTCCTAGGTTGAGGACCCTAGTCGTCCTCTTCCAGTTCTTCCTGTCCTATGAATGAGTCCTACCTACAGACCTGTGTGTTTCTACCTATGTCCTGTATGAGCGTCCTCTGTACCTTAAGATAGTGTTCTAAGACTAGCCCTGGATTCTTGAATTCTTTTGTCCACCTAGGAAAGAATTTCCTCGTAGCTACGTAGGGGAAGAGGCATGGGCTCATAAATCTCTCTCTCTTTTTCTCTCAGGATGCAAGAAACCAGTATCTGCCTCAGGGAAGGAGATGGATTGGGCACAGATGGCATGCCATCGATGTCTGGTGTACCTGGGGGATTTGTGTAAGAATATGAACTTTTCCTTTTCTCTGTTTCAGGATACAGGACAGGCTTAAGCTGCTTCAGTTGTTGGTACCACCCGTTATGGTTATTTGAGAGCAGGATGATTATTTTGGCCTCTGATAACATTTTCCTTTTCGTCTGCTTACAGTGTTCACTTCTTTTCACTGCTCTTCCATAAGTCAGAGAAGATCAGCGAATACTGGAAGAAGGAAAATGTCTTTGAGCTTTGAGAAAGTCAGGTTGATAACTCAGTTTCCGAAGTGCATTAGCAAGATTTTAATTTCTCCTTTGGGTTTTTTTCCTCTCCATGGACTCCTGGAGGAAGTGAAGTCAGGCCTCAGGGAGGACTTACCTGACTGACAGAGGTTTCCCAGAATGGAAAATGCTCTCTCTGTGATTCCTGGGTCTCCAGTCCTAATAGACAGAGGGTCCTCATTAGGCTGCTGGTGTGTGGCTGTTGGGGGCATTACCTTTCATTGACCTGAGGCCCCCTTCTCTTCCTGCCCCAGGCCCACTCCTTGAACCCTCAGAGGCAGGTTGCACAGAGAGAACGAGCCATTTCACATTAGACTGAGTGTCATTAGTAATGTCTTCGCTCTAGAATTGAGCAGTTGCATTCCAGAACCAAGTATCAGAGGTCTTTCCAAGTAATTATATATGCTGCTGCTTCTCTTCATTGGGAAGAGATCATGAAAAGAGCTTGTTTATTTTACAAACAGTAGATATGCTCTACATACAATAGAACTTACCAGCAAGGAGGAGAGAGTTGAACCGTTCACCCATAGTCATGCACGTTTAAGACTGTTGGAGGCCCACACAGCTGGCCTCCTAGTTCAGGTGTCTTCCTCCCAGCATCTTACTGCAGCTTCTCAGAGTGGACTCCCAGGTGAGGGGTGGGTTTTCTAAAACAGGGGACCATTGCATTTCTTTCCTCCTCTTTCTCCTGCAGCACGATATCAGAATGAATTAGCTGGTGTAGACACCGAGCTGCTAGCTGAGAGGTTTTACTACCAAGCCCTGTCAGTAGCTCCCCAGATTGGTAAGTGGACCCTTGCTTGGGCCTCCCAGCCCAGCATCCATTTCCCAAGAAGAGGATGATGTTGAGATGGCAGGCAGGCCCTACTCACTTTCCCCTGGGTCTTTCCCTCAGTCAGTTCTCTTGTACTTCACCTTTGTTATGCACTCTCCTCCTTGTAATATGTACTAATAAGATGGTAGAAGGGGAAGAGAAATGGGAAAGTCTTGAACTAAGAAGGAGGGAGGCAGAAGAAAAGGAGAGAACATGGCTTCCCTGTCCCTGAGATCTGTGTAGGAAGAGGAGACTGTACTTCATCTGCCCCCTCCTCCTCCCTAGGATGCACAGTGAGAGAACGGATTAGGTTCCATTACAGGGAGAGATGGGGATTAGCAGAAGGAGATCTCAGAGGTGAGAAACTGAGCTTGGTTAGAGGAGAAGGCCCCATGGAGTTCTGTCAGCTGTGGAAGAGTCCCAGCTGCTGCTGAAGGAATGGCACCCATCAGTGCTGAACTCCTTGGCAGGCCAGGTGGGAACAGACTGAGTCTGTAATCATTAATCCCCTGGAGGAATAAAATTAAGCTGCTAATCACCTAGACACCTGCAGACCCAACTCTTCTCCCTACCAGTTCTAATGCTTAGCTTTGGTTGAGCCTGGCAGCTTTGGGTGAGTAGTGTGGTGCAGGCTGTGTGACTTCTCTCCCCCCTTCCCCGCTCAGGAATGCCCTTCAACCAGCTGGGTACACTCGCAGGCAGCAGGTACTATAACGTGGAAGCCATGTATTGCTACCTGCGCTGGTGAGTATTTGCTGCTGCTTTCCCAGCCCTGTTCTCATGTCCATGTTCCTACTTTTCCCAGCCCTGTTCCTACTTTGTTTTCTCTCTTCTCATCCTCCCTTCTCTAGCTTCTGGCTGAAGTGCATTGGGAAATGCTGAGATTGAGGGGTCCCTCCTGTCGGGGGCACCCTGACACAGTTCTGCTTTTCACACAGCCACCTGGATTTGTAGGCACTTGGGTGGCTAATATAATTGTTGGCTATCTTATGCAAAATACAGGATTGTTGTCTTGAAGGAGGAAGTAAGTTTGACAAAGTTGATAAAATGTCACCAGAGTAGCCTCTGACAGGAACCTCAGAATTGTAGAGTTTCAGCGTTTTGAGGTGGCAGGGATAATAGTGTGGGGGACCAGCTTCCTCAGATCTGACAGTCAGCTCTTAGGATAAAAAACATTTTAAAAATAATTTTTTATTTTTCAGTTATAGTTGACATACAGTGTTTTAGTGTCAGGTAAACACTTTTACAGGGCACCCAAAGTTGATTATGCTACTGAGTCACCATCACCAAATGCACATGAGACCAGTAGGTAAACCAGAATGCCATCAATTACATTCTGGTAAGAAATAAATCGCCAGGGAAGCTAGGAGGCTCACTATTGCCACCCAATCAGGGCTGGAGTCTACTTGTGGACCTAGTTATTCTAGAAGAGGTTATATAGTAAATTGGACTTCAAAATAAGGGAATAGGGTGGTTTTCATAGCTCAGGTAGTCAAATACTAAAGTGGAAAGAAAAATACTTAATTCTGCCTTATAATTCCATGTGTCACAATCCTGGGTTTACTTGGTCAAGGAAACCTAGTCCCTGTACCAACAAAGTCTGTGCTCTTGTAGTGCCCCGCCTCCTTTTCAGTACAGACTGGCGGCCTCTGTCACTGTGTTTATCCTTGAATATGATTGTCTTGGATCCCTCATCACACTCATAATCATGATTTAGGGTGATTCACTTCCAGAGAGAGTCAAGCACATCCAGGTGTGGAAGGTGTCCACAGAGGCTCTACCCAGCTCTGCTAAGACAGTTATAGCTCACAGTCTGGGGCTTCGGCATTTGGGTAGGGTTTAGTTGGGCAGGTCTCCTTCTGGTGTCACTGTCCAGGGTTCCTCACTGGTATTCAGCTGACCTGGAGGTCTCACATGTCTTAAGGGCTGGCCCAACAGGATGGACCTCTCTCCCTTTCCACATGGTCTCTGTCTCCATGTGGTTTCTTTCTCAGAGTAGATGGACTTCTTTCATGGTGGCTCCAGGCTTCAACAGTAAACAATGACCCAAGAGACTTGGAAGAAGAATCTACCAGTCTCTTAAGCCTGGGCCTGGAGACTGACAGAGTTACTTCTGCAGTGTTCTCTCAGTCAGAGCAGTGTGTAGTCCTTCCCTCCCCCAGCAGGCCCTCACCCAAGGCCACACCAGGATTTAAAGAGCTGAGGAGACAAACCCACTTCTCAGTAGAAGGAATATCAGATTTAATTCACCACAAACATATTTTTTCCTTATTAGACCTCGTTTTTTATAATTAAAAGGTGTTGGGTTTGGTGTGTTTTTTTTGAAATTTTGAAAGTATAGCATACTGTTAAGGTCATAGACTGCAGTGAGACAGACTCAGCTCCACTGTGTATTTAGGCTGTGTGACCTTGGCTTCATTTCCTCACTGCGGACAATATTACGGTACAATGCCTGACCTGTAGCGTGGTGGTGCTCAATATATATTTGCATTTGAATGAGCATTATGAGGCTCAACTGAAATGGTATGTAAATATCCTTGCACATGTTAAATGCCTGTTAAATGCTGCCTGGTAAGTGCTCAGTGCTTTAGAAAAGATGAAGGATAATGTATTTCAGGGATAGTAACTAAGTTAAGTTTGTAACATAAAGTAGGATTAATTGTCTTATTTCTAGATATAGAGGAGATGTAGATATCATCTTCACTCTGATTAATCTGGAAGCTGTAGTGTGCATGTGTGTGTGTTTCATCAGGAGAAATAGCTTTCACCCCCTTAGTTTATATGGAAGAAGAGGCTGGGGCAGTCTGTATTTATTAGAAGCATTGTTCCATAAAGCCCTGGCAGAGTTCCCCCTTCTCCCCTCCGTGTCCCTGCTGAGACTCAGTAGCTTCCTCTGTGTCTCCTTCAGCATCCAGTCAGAAGTGTCCTTTGAGGGGGCCTATGGGAACCTCAAGAGGCTGTATGACAAGGCGGCCAAAATGTACCACCAGCTGAAGAAGTGTGAGACTCGGAAACTGTCTCCCAGCAAGAAACGGTAACTGAGGCCAGTGGGGAGGAAAGGCTCTTTCTGTATCTGCTGCAGTAGCACCATAGGGACTATGGAGCTGCTCGCCCTTTACCCCAGACTCCTCTCATTTCAGATGTAAAGACATTAAGAGGTTGCTGGTAAACTTTATGTATCTGCAAAGCCTCCTGCAGCCTCAAAGCAGGTGAGTTGAAGAGAGCCTAAGCAGAAACCATGTCCTGTGGTCCCATCCATGAGAGCTCCTTTACGGAGGATGCTTGAAGAAGAAGGGGTAGGCTGTTCAGTTCTGCTCAGGTAGAAATTTTCTAGCTAGTTAGCCTTTTCTTGGCATCCCTCACTGTTTTGGCCAAGAGTTCTGTGTCCATTCTCCTGAGTAGCTCTGCCTCTGGCACAAAATGGGCTCTTAACTAGATGTTCAAGAGAGCACCCAAAATGGAAAGCCCACTCATATCTCTTCCACTTAGTGCCTGCCCTTCCTGTATTTTCTCTTTTTAAACACCTGCCCAGCACCAAGTCCCCCTTCTGTGCTGTCTGAAGTCTCCCCTGCAGGACCCCTTAGTCTTTTTTTCTGAATACTCTGTTTCCAGTTCTTTTCGCCTGCCCAGCCTCCATCACTAACCTCCCCTGTTACTCCTGCCTTTCACAGCTCTGTGGACTCAGAGCTGACATCACTTTGCCAGTCCGTCCTGGAGGACTTCAACCTCTGTCTCTTCTACCTGCCCTCCTCACCCAACCTCAGCCTGGCCAGTGAGGATGAGGAGGAGTATGAGAGTGGATATGCTTTCCTCCCGGATCTTCTCATCTTTCAAATGGTCATCATCTGCCTTATGGGTGTGCACAACTTGAAGAGAGCAGGTAACTCTTCCTGGGTTCCCCTTTTCTCCCCGACTGACTGCCCTTTTCTGAAGCTTCTCATTCTTAAACTTCCTTCCACAAGCAGCTCCTTAACTACCGTGTCACTGCTTGGCTGTGGGAAAGTACAGAACAGGGTGCCTTACCCTAAAGGATCTGCTGAAAAACGAACAAGGCCACAGCATATTCCCTTTCCCTTCCTCCTCACTCCCTCCTACAAACACACACACCCTCGGCTAGGACCCAGGCAGACACACGGTCAGTTCTGCAGACTTCCCTGGCAGAGATGTGTGTAGAGCAAGGTTAGAAGGAAAGAAGGGAGTGGCAGGGCTGGATGTGAAGGTGCTTGGGGTTTGAGGAGCCCGTATGAAGGCATCAGAGCTGGGGGGATGAGGCAGGATGAGAGGATTCGCTTACCTGAGGGGGCACTGGATGAGCTGGCACACTCTGGATTACAGAACCACAGTGTGGGGACCTGGGATTTTTTTTTTACTTTAGAAGAAACTTTGAGAGAAGTTCAGTCCTTGAAAAGGCTGAAACTAGGAGAGTTGGGGCTGGAATTATTGGTGCCACCTCCTCAGGGTCCTGGGCCCTGGACCCCTAACACCTACCTGGCTTTTCCTGGCTTTAGGATCCAAGCAGTACAGTGCAGCCATTGCCTTCACCCTGGCCCTGTTCTCCCACCTCATCAACCACGTCAACATAAGGCTGCAGGCTGAGCTGGAAGAGGGGGAGAATCCCGTCCCGGCATTCCAGAGCGATGGCACAGGTGCAAGAATGGGGGAGGATGTGACTGGAAATGTGAGCATACGGATCAAGGAAGGGGGAGCACAGGCGTGACGGTGGCAGTGTCTAAGGGTACCTTCCAGCTTCCAGCCTCCAATTTGTGCCTAGGCCCCACCTGACCATCCTCTTTCCACAGATGAGCCAGAATCCAAGGAACCCTTGGAGAAGGAGGAGCCTCCTCCTGTAGAACCTCAGGTGGGTGAGGTCCGAAAGAGCCGGAAGTTCTCCCGCCTCTCCTGCCTCCGCCGCCGCCGTCGCCACCTGCCTAAAGTCGGTGATGACAGTGACCTGAGTGAAGGCTTTGAATCTGACTCGAGCCGAGACTCAGCCCGGGCCAGTGAGGGCTCGGACAGTGGCTCTGACAAGAGCCTTGAATGTGGGGGAACAGCCTTTGATGCTGAGACAGACTCAGAAATGAACAGCCAAGAATCCCGATCAGACCTGGAAGACATGGAGGATGAGGAGGGGACACGGTCTCCAGCCCTGGAACCCCCTCGGACCAGGTCAGAGGCTCCCGAGTCCCTCAATGGCCCTCTGGGCCCCAGTGAGGCTAGCCTTGCCAGCAATCTACAAGCCATGTCCACCCAGATGTTCCAGACCAAGCGCTGCTTCCGACTGGCCCCCACCTTCAGCAACCTGCTCCTCCACCCCACCACTGAACCTCACGGCTTGGCCAGCTGTAGGCCCTGTATCAATGGAGATGTGGATAAGCCCTCAGAGCCAGGTACTTGGGCCTCTGTTTATCATTCTGCTCTGGTCCACACGTCCATGCCATCGGCACTTACCTGAGAGAGGCCACCTCACTGTGCAAGCACTTCTCACCCTGACCCTCGCCGCCTGTGAGCCTCTTGAAGGCAGGATGGTCCGTGTTTTATCCTTGGTGTCTGACACAGTACCTGGCATGTGGGTGGGCTTAGGAAATACTGGCTGAATAAGAGAAATATGGAAGCTGATGCTGAGGTGGAACGACCTGCTCAGTGTTCTGACCTGCAAAGTTGAAGAGCTAGGAGCTGGAAGTAATTTTTTTAATTCTGTGCCCTTCCTCACTGTGGCTCCCTTATCTTTGCCCTGCCTTCTAGCACAGAGTAGCACTTCATAAATAACAGTTGAGTATGGCTATAGACTAGCCTCACAAATCAGCTTGAATGAAAAAGAATCATATTTTAAAGGGTACCAGGCTCTTGGTTTAAAAGGTGTCCTTCCTGTGGTCTCACGCCTTCTCTTTTTTTAATTCTTCAGCTAGTGGTAAAATTCATCAAGGTTCGGTGGCCCCTTTCATTCCCCATGGGACCAGCTCTGTGTTTCCAAGTTCCCCAAAGCCCTCCTTGGCCTCTGTTCATTTTCTATCAAATCCCTCTGGGCTTGTGACTCCAGCCTCAGGCCTCCCAAGTGCAGTGCATTTCTTGCTCACTGCTATCTCCCTACACTGCTCTGGCTGAGGGCCTCCTCTGCCCTCTCTCCCCAGAGCAACCAGTTAAAAGTAGTCCTGGAAAAATTAGGCAGAGGTCTGTAAGAAAATTCCCTATCTTTCATATCAAAATTCTTCAGAAGAGTCCAGACAGGCTGGGGCATACTACCCCCACAGAGCCGAAACCTGTTGCCGAATGCCTGTGAGTTCATCCCAGTTCTCTTCACCCACCCCCAGCCTCTGAGGAGGGTTCTGAGTCGGAGGGCAGTGAGTCCAGTGGGCACTCCTGTCGGAATGAGCGCAGCATCCAGGAGAAGCTGCAAGTCCTGATGGCTGAAGGCCTGCTTCCCACAGTGAAGGTCTTCCTGGACTGGCTGCGGACCAACCCCGACCTCATCGTCGTGTGTGCACAGGTCTGCTGCTCCCCTGCCCTGGTCGGGTCTCAGGGCGTTGGGGGCGGGCATCAGCCAGGATGGGACCCAGGACTCCCACTGATGGTCTGATGAAGATAAGAATTGTTGCCAAGTGCCTGCTCTGTGCCAGGTTCTTACACTTTCTACAGGAAGATTAGGCCTGGTCTTTGTCCTGGGAGAGGCTGTGACCTGGAATACAAATTGTGTGGATGGGAAAGTGAGAGAGCAGCTTACTCTGCTCTGTATCTCCAGTGTCGGGCGTGGTGCCTGCCATTAAGATTAGTGTTTGTGCAGAGTCTCTGCAGAAAGGAGAGCACACTAAGTGGTCACAGAAGAGATGGGATCTAAGGAATGGTGGGATTTTCCGACAGGGGCTGTGAAGGTGCTCCAGGTGAGGGGAACAGCTTAGGGAATAGCTTAGACCTGCAGCCACAGCTGATGGTGTCAGAGACCAACAGCTCAGCAGGCTGGCTGGGGTGGTGGCTGCCTTATTCTCAGGTTCCAAGTCTCGGTCTTGAGCCTCTGGTGCCCTGAGGCTTTTTTCAGCGATGCTGTACCCTGTATGGCACACTTACCCTGCATAGACGTCCCTTCTTCCTGCAGGCTGCCCTAGATGAGAGAGGGGTCAGGTGCCCTTGGGTGTGTGCTTATGTCTGATGACAGCCTAGTGACTCAGTCACTGTCAGTCATTGAGGGAGGTGTGGTAAGAGGGACGTCCCTGAGAAATGTTCCCATGTGGGCATGGTGCGAGTTCGTGCTAGATGGAGAGAAGCCTCCTCCAGTGTTCTGGCTTTTCCCACCACTAATATCCAGAAAGTCCTTCCTGTGGTCTCACGCCTTCTCTTTTTTTAATTCTTCAGCTGGTGGTAAAATTCATCAAGGTTCGGTGGCCCCTTTCATTCCCCATGGGACCAGCTCTGTGTTTCCAAGTTCCCCAAAGCCCTCCTTGGCCTCTGTTCATTTTCTATCAAATCCCTCTGGGCTTGTGACTCCAGCCCTCAGGCCTCCCAAGTGTAGTGCGTTTCTTGCTCACTGCTATCTCCCTACACTGCTCTGGCTGAGGGCCTCCTCTGCCCTCTCTCCCCAGAGCTCTCAGAGTCTATGGAACCGCTTGTCCGTGTTGCTGAATCTGTTGCCAGCTGCCGGTGAACTCCAAGAGTCTGGTGAGTGAGTCCCTGGCATTACTTTCCCTTCCCCTCTCCCTCATTGGTCCCATAAAGCCCATCCCCCCCTCCTGGTAACCCAGCCCTTTGGGTAAGGAGGTTAATGGGATTCCCTGCCAAGCCTCCCTCACACACAGCAGTCATTGTGGACTTGGCCTCTCTGGTTTCTCACCCCAGCACTGCCCCACTGGGCGAGTGCCTGGTCTGCCAGGGAGTGTGCTCCCTGGGGATAGCAGTGAAGTGGGCAAGAGCAGAGTGAGGGGAGCCTGGAAGCCACCCCCAGTTGCTGGGGTCACACTGGTGCATTGGTCATTGAGAATCAATCTTGACCTCCAGTACTCATCTGCCTGGCTTATTCCCTCCTGCACCTTCTGGCTGGGAATCTCTACCTTCTCCTATCTCTGGACTTGCCCAAAGGCTATTCATTCCTCCCTTCAGAGTCCTCCTCTCACTTTCATCCTCATGTGATTGCCCTGCAGTCAGGGAGCCTTTGTCTCAGCTGTCCTGGTTCTCCCCACCTGCGCTGTACCTCCAGTCCCTCCAGCTCCAGGTTTCTAGAGCTCTGCTGCACAGCCCCATGCACATCTCTTTCCTTTCCTCCCTTCATCTCTCGTCCGATTCTGGTGCAGGGGTATGTCCTATCTCATTAGCCTGAGAATTCTCAAAAGGCAGGGCAGGTGGTCTCACGGGTCCTCTTTCTCCCCAGGCTTGGCCTTGTCTCCCGAGGTCCATGTTCTTCTTGAAAGTTGTGAACTGCCTGACCTCCCCTCTACCCTGCTGCTCCCAGAGGACATGGCCCTTCGCAGCCTGCCTCCCCTACGGGCTGCCCACAGACGCTTTAACTTTGATGTGGACCGGCCCCTGCTCAGCACCTTAGAGGAGGTGAGGACATCATTTCTCAGCTCTGCTGTTAGTCAGACACAGCAGCCAAGTAAGGGCTCAGTGTCAGAGGGGCAGGCGAGAAGCCCTCCTATTCCTTCCTTAGGCATTGAGCCCCTGGAGCTTTCTTTCCTTCTTGGCAGGATGTCCTGCTGTGGGTGGCGTCTCCTGTTGTAGAATGAGCCTTCTTCCCCTTACCCACCTTCTGTAGAGGGCAGAGCAGGTGGATTATTAGGGCTTCGAAATCTTTTATCAGGCTTTCTTCACTGTGGGCCCAGGCTCATCTGAGCTGAACATCAAACAGTCAGAGTTAGAGGTGGAAGGGTATGAGCTACCTTAGTCCAGTGACCTTCACCCTTGTGTCACTACATGGGCCATCTAGGGGCAGCAGAAGAAAGCCAAGCTGATGGGTCTCCCAGGCTTGCTCTCCTACCTCCCTGCCCCAACGCACACTCCTTTTGTTTGCTCCCTCTCTGTCCAGAGCAGCAGTTTAGTCTATTTAATATTTTTGGGTTCTAGACAAGATTTGTGTTTGATGGGGAAGAAGGGTTCTGCTGACAAAAAAAATAAGTTGGAAATGTTGGTCTAGTTCAGTCCCTCATTATACACCTGAGGAGCTGAGACTTGGAGGAGAGAGATGGCACTAGAAGCTAGGTCTCCTCAGTCCCAGCCCGGTGCCCCAGCTCACTTTTCTCAGCCCAAGTCCTAGCTCTGTGGTCCCATGAGTCTCCTTGCCCTTCTTACTCCTTTCTTACTCTAGAGCCTTTGGGCCATGGAGCTCCTCTCTTTCCCTGCAGACTACAGGCCTCTCCGAGGAGCACTGTGGCTGAGGGGCCTGGTATGACAGGGAGGCAGGAGGGCGGGAGCCCTGGCGGGCAGTCCTGCTCATCTGAGCTGGGCTCCCATGTCTGTTCACAGTCTGTTGTGCGAATCTGCTGCATCCGCAGCTTTGGCCACTTTGTCGCCCGCCTGCAAGGCAGCATCCTGCAGTTCAGCCCGGAAGTTGGCATCTTTGTTAGTACTGCCCAGTCCGAGCAAGAGAGCCTGCTGCAGCAGGCCCAGGCCCAGTTCCGAATGGTGAGTTGGCCCCCTCCCCAGGTCCCCTCTGTTCCCATTGGACTCATTGAGGAGCCAGGGTAAGAGGCTCAAACTAGTGGCCCATGACTGAAGAACATGGTGAGGGGTCTGGGGAAACCAAGCTTGGGAAAGAGGAGGCAGGGGCGGGAACTATGGGATGAGTTGATGGACAGGAATGAGAGCGGCTTTGAGCAGAGGCAGTGTGGCACTGCGGTAGTAGCCAGGCTGCCTGAGGGTTGAGGGCCATCTCTGTCACCTCTTTGTTTGTGAATTGAGCGAGTCACTTACCTCTGCTAAATCTGTTGCCTTATCAGTTATGTGGAAATAACAGAATTAGCTTTTGGGGGTGTGTAATGATAGAATGATAGTACCTGTGGGGCACCTTGCCCATTATCACAGCAAATGCTCCCTTTCCTCCCCTTTCAGAGGGGTGAAGACTGAGCAATGGAAGGGAGTAGAGGGACCCTGGTATCAGACACTGCGTAGGAACCCGCCCATCCCAGACTTGACGTCATCCCACAGAGGCCCCGAACAGGAGGAGATGGCCTCTGCTGCCCTCTTCCGCTCAGTAATTCATTCCATAAGTGTTTGCTGAGAGTCTACTCTGTGTCAGTATTCTAGGCACTGGGGTTACAGCCCCGAACAAGACATCTTTCTCTGGTGAGGCTGACACTGTGAGCAGGAGTCTAGGTTCCGCAGCAGGGCCGCACAGCCCTGGGGCATGTTGCCCTCCTTGTGCTGAGTGGCACCAGTCCATTTGGGGGTTGGGGAATGTCTGGCACAGGAGGTATAGCCCACGCGGCTCGGCAAGCCTCGGGCTCTTCTTCATCCCTAGCTAATCCCTTCCCCCCTGTTCTTCCTTCCTTAGCCCCGGGCTTCCCATCTCTCTGACTGTCCTCTTCTGCCGACAGTCTATGGGAAGGGGCACAGGCTCCCCAGACACTCCTTCCTTGCCGTCATACAAGCAAAGACATTTTGTTAAAAACAAACCCTTTCTCTTTTTTTTTTTTCTTTTTTAAATATTTTACTTGTTTATTTTCAGAGAGAGGGGAAGGGAAGGAGAAAGAGTGGGAGAGAAACATCAGTGTGTGGTGGCCTCTCATGGGTCCTCTGCTGGGAACCTGGCCTGCAACCCAGGCATGTGCCCTGACTGGGAACTGAACTGGCGACCCTTTGCCTCACAGCCGTGCTCAATCCACTGAGCTACACCAGCCAGGGCTAAAACAAACCCTTTCTGTTAAGGCTTTTACTACCCTTTCATAGGGGAAAACACAAGGGAGTTACATGGGGAAGTTATGCAGCTTCAAAAATATTAAAGTTTTTGCAGATATTTCCTCCAGTCTGATTTTTTTTTTTTTAGGATTTTATTTACTTATTTTTAGACAAAAGGGATGGGAGGGAGAAAAAGAGGGAGGGAAACATTAATGTGTGGTTGCTTCCTTTGCACCCCCTACTGGGGACCTGGCCTGCAACCCAGGCATGTGCCCTAGACTGGGAATCGAACTGGTGACCCTTTGGTTCTCAGACCAGTGCTCACTCCACTGAGCCACACCAGCCGAGCATAGCCTGAAATTCTTGACGACTCCTCCTGGGGGTAGGCAGTACCTGTGGACATGGGCCACGTTGCCTGCTGGGGCTGCTTTCTGCTGTGCCTGAGTCATAGGTTTGCACCCATGGAGTTTATGCCCTAACAGCAGCATGGTCATCATATTGCTATGCTATCTCCTGTCATTTGTTTAGAGCTCTCTGTGTGCAAAGTCTGGTTTGCATGTGACATCTCAACCCTTATAGCAGTCTTGTGAGGTGGGGGCTGGACCCTCATTTTGTAGATGAGGAAGTTGAAATTGGGCAGTCCAGGCTCTTGTCCTTGTTCTAACCTAATGTGGGGCTCAGCTTTTTTATAGGCCAGGTGGGTACCAGAAGCCGCTTCAACTTTCTGGGTTCCAGCAGCTGTCTGGTTTGGGAACCCCTCTTTCCTGATGGGACCTTCCTTGGGTTTCCCCTGAGGAGCACATCCCACTTCTCTGAACTATCGGACCAGTGATAGCAGAGCCCGAGATTCATGCAGCTCTCCTCTCCCTGGGCCCAGGTGGGTCCCCACTCACCTGTACTGGTTGTCTGGTGGAGCTTACCCAAGTGCCCACATCCCCCTCTCTGGAACATGGGGTTTCACAACTTGAACTTTAGCGTAAAAGTAAGATTCCTGGGCTTGATTTCTGCAGTGAGAGGAGGGGCAGTTTGTCCACAGAGCTCCACTTTCTTAGCAGCTGGCCGACAGGGCCTGTTAGGAAGCAGCTCTCACTTAGGCTCCAGTCATCTTTTCTTTTGCCAGGATTTCTCACAGGGGACCCTCTTGGCATATCAGGCAGGACCACTCTGTGGTACACGACTCTGCGGGGGGTGGATCTCCCATAACCTTAGTGTAATTATCAAAACTAAGAAAGTAAGGAATGGTACATACCACTAACGATAGTGTATTCAGATTTCACTATTTTCCATTAATGTCTATTTTCTCTTAAAGGGTCCCACATTGCATTGGTTGTTCTGTCTCCTAAGTTTCCTGCAGTCTGTGTCAGTTTCTCTCTTTTTTTTTTTTTTAATTTATCTTTAGAGGGGAAGGGAAGGAGAGAAGGAGAGAAATATCAATGTATGGTTGCCTCTCGTGAGTCCCCCGCTGGGAACTGGCCTGCAACCCAGGCATGTGCCCTGACTGGGAATCGAACAGCAACCGTGTGTTTTGCAGGCCCGCGCTCAATCCACTGAGCTACACCAGCCAGGGCTGTCTCTCTGCCTTTCACAACCATGACACTTCGGAAGAGTATTGGTCAGTTATTTTGCAGAGTGTCCCTCACATTGGCTCAGTCTAGACTCATGTTACAGAGTACCACTCTGATGCTGCCACTTCATTCCCCATGGAGCCTTCAGGGGCTCCCCATATCTTTTTAGGGTAAGTCCCTGTCCGCAGCCTCATCTTTCAGACCATATTAAGAAATTTGGACTTCACCCAGAAGACAAAGGAAAACCAACCAAGAACTTTTAGTCAGGGCTGTGATGGACACCGGGTGGTTTTTAGAAGATGCGTGGTTACAGGTGGGAGAAATAGATTGGGTTAGAGGCAGAGACAGTAAGGAAGTGGTTACAGTAGTCCAGGTGGGAGCTGCTGGCTTAGACTAGGCTCGTGCAGTGGAGATGGAGATGTGGAAGGGTTTGAATGAGTGGCTTTTTAGGAGGTGCAATCGACAGGACTGGGAAGCCAGTAACTGATGGAGCTGAGAGAGAAGGAAAAGTCGAAGCCAACTCAGCTTTCTGACTGGCAGATGGTGGTTCATTTACCATGTTGGGAAACACTAGAGGAAGATGACCAAGTACGGGGGAGCAGAGGAAGCCGCCGAGCAGGCGTTTGGGTGTGTGGGTCAGGGGTGGTCAGGCCTGGGCTGAAGCTGCAGATTTGGAAGAAGTTGGCAAGTAGATGGTGATAGAAGATGAGGGGAGTATATGGTTTCCCCTGGGAGGGAAAACAGATTGAGAAGAGCAGAGGGGCAGAGCTCAGACCCTGAGGACAGTCAGGCACTGTGCTGTTTGCTCCCACTCGTGGGTCCTGGGACAGAGTGAGGAATGTGTTTCTCCCATGTGCCTTTTTACTTAGAAGATTGACACAGAGCTGACTTTGTATGAGGCCATACCTACTTCAGGCCTCAGAATACATCCTGGTCTTCTTGATCTTGGGAGAAAGAAATATGGCCCCAACCCTTCTTCCCAAGCTTAGCACTTGTTTTTTCCCCTCATAGGCACAGGAAGAAGCTCGGCGGAACAGGCTCATGAGAGACATGGCACAGCTGCGACTTCAGGTAGAAAACTGGAGCCCAAGTACTCCTGCTTTTGATCTGGTTATTGCCTAAAGCCCTCTGGCAGACCCTCATCCTTCAGCTCAGCACTGCCTCCTGCTCACCTGTGCCCCCACACACACTTTGCCCAGAGTACCTTCCTGGCCTCCCAGGTCCCCCTCCTGAAGCCCATTTGTCACAGAGCCTTGATGTCCTCTTGCTGCTTCCACTTCTCTTTCCCTTCTCTTCCTCTCTACCTTCTCTTCCTCTCTACCTTAACCTTTGATTCTGTTTACTTTTCTTTCAAGGCCACTGTTTGAAGGAATCCCCTACCCTGGGACATTAAGAGGAACCCCTTAAGAGCTCCCTTGGGTACCATCTCCACCCCCTACCCTCGCCCCAGCCCAGGCTGCGGGTCCCACACAGCTCCACCCACTCTGCCTTCTCTCAACAGCTTGAGGTCTCTCAGCTGGAAGGGAGCCTACAGCAGCCCAAGGCCCAATCAGCAATGTCACCCTACCTCGTCCCTGACACCCAGGCCCTTTGCCAACACCTCCCCATCATCCGCCAGCTGGCCACCAGTGGCCGCTTCATTGTCATCATCCCAAGGACAGGTGAGCATACTGGGGAGGTGGGAGGACAGATAAAGTGTGATTAAAAGACACTGTGGGCTTAGGGTTGAGAGAGCCTTACTTGGGGTCCAGTTTATACACCGTGGCCTTGGTCAAGTCCTACCACTTCTGAACCTCAGTCATTTCATCTGTGAGATGGGCATGATAATCCCTGGTAAACTCTGGCTCATGACACGGTTGGGAGAAACAGATGAGAATGTGTAAGCGAAAGCACTTGGTAAACTGCCAGGTGCACGGCTGGCAGAACGTCATACCTTGAAGACTCCAGGGGCCCTGTCACACCCACGGTCCCCTCCTTTTCCTGCAGTGTGTGCTGGAGGGGCACAAACACTTGCTGCACAGCCCCATGTCACAGTAGTCTGAGTCCTTCTGTTTTGTCCTTGCCCACTAGTGATCGATGGCCTGGATTTGCTGAAAAAGGAACACCCAGGGGCCCGGGATGGGATTCGATACCTAGAGGCAGAATTTAAAAAAGGAAACAGGTGAGTGAGTGTGGGCCTGCCAGACTGTGCTGAGCCTGCACCTGTCTTCCAGGCGACAAGTGTTTATGTGTTACTTGTTACCTGTGACACACGGTTGCAGTCCCTGCTCAATTTGCTCACTGCTGGGGGAAAAACCCAAAGACGTAATAAGTCAAGGTCTTGGCTGCTGAAATAGAGGGTTATCAGAGGAGCCAGGAGCCCTGTGGGGGAGCACTTACCTGCTGTCCATTTGCCTATGGGGCAAACGTGAAATCAGTCTCACAGAGCGAGGGGAGCAACCCCCCCCCCCAGCTCCGGGCTGTGGATGCCTTTGCTGGAGTTTCTCCTGCTTAGGGTTAGGACTGGTGATCAGGTTTGCCTAGGGTAAGAGTGCTCTCCATGGCGCGCCTAGGGCTCCCCACCTCCCGCCCAAGCCACGGTGAGCAGACTGCAGCATGTTGGTGCTCAGCCCCGTGCAGGCCTTTCTTTCTGACCTCCCTGCTAGCTGACACCCTTCACGCCCCACCCTACCTCCACGTCTGCCCTTGCCTGCCCAGGAAGTTGCACAAAGCCTACTTGTTTGGACCTTGTCTCCAGAAGCCCTGACTTGAAATACATCTGCTGCTCTCTCCTCCCAGCTCCTCCCCCTGGGAGGAACGGAGGAATTGATGTTATCAGTAAGAAAAGCCAGCTGGCCAGGAAACTTCAAAATGACTCCCAGTAGACCTGCAATGGAGAGATGCCCCCCCTCACTGCTGTAGAACTGGGCCCCTGAGCTACAGTGGTCTGCTTTGTATCTGGTGCCCTCCCTTTGCCCCCCACCTCCACTCTCCTGTGTCCTTTGCAGGTACATTCGCTGCCAGAAAGAGGTAGGGAAGAGCTTTGAGCGACATAAGCTGAAGAGACAGGATGCAGATGCCTGGTAAAGTTTCAGCCCCCACCCCTAGAACCTCAGTTAGGCTGCCTGCCTCACTCCTCTGTGCCACCCCCCTGAGAGCAGGACAGGGCCAAGGAACTCTGAAATAGGTGGTGGAACCAGCCTGGGGCCTCCTGCAAGTCTCACCTTGGAGGAAGAAGCTGTTTCAGCACCCGAGTCCCTGGGGCCTTGAGATATTCAGGCTTGGTGTCCTCCAGGTGCCCTTGCCCACTCCCTGTAGCACGGCCTCCAGTGTCAGTGTCCAGGACCCGCTGTCGCAGCTGCCTGCCTTCTTTTGCTCCCTGCTGCCCCCTTCCCCATCCCTAGCTTCCCTGTGCCCTGGAAATGCTGTGTTCAGACTGAGCTAATGCCATGCCTTGGCCTGCTTTCCCTCTCTTCCTCACCAGGACTCTCTATAAAATCCTGGACAGCTGCAAACAGCTAACTCTGGCCCAGGGGGCAGGTGAGGAGGACCCAAGTGGCATGGTGACCATCATCACAGGCCTTCCACTGGACAACCCCAGCGTGCTCTCAGGCCCTATGCAGGTGGGTTACTGGATGAGGTGAGGGGACTGGAATGGGGAAGAGTTACCAGAGCAGACTCCTCCTCAGATTTCCCAGACAACTGCCCTTTGCTCATCCAGCCCCTCAGTGACTTGTCCCATGCTCAGTCACTGGACTCTTGCCCATTTGTTCTCTCCCCTTCTACAGGCAGCCCTGCAGGCCGCTGCACATGCCAGTGTGGACATCAAGAATGTTCTGGACTTCTACAGGCAGTGGAAGGAAATTGGTTGAGATTGACCCCCAAGCCCTGCAGTGGGGCTGACTCCAGATCTCTCCTGCCCTCCCTGGCTGCCAGGACCACCTGTAGTCACCCCACCACATGCAGACTCACGCACGCACGCACTCAGAAAGGAAGCCCAGCTGCACAGGAGCTGAGGGAGGGCCCAGGAGCCACCTGGGAGGGTGGGGTCCCCCTGTTGCCAAGATGAAGTCAGGAAAGTACTTGGAGCAAGAGAGGCCTGTGGGCCCCTAGTCAGCCTTTCTGCCTCAACCCTCCTGCTGTCCCTAGAGGCAGGTGGCAGGCATGGGTATCTGCGTTTCATTGGAGTGATTCCTGGACATCCAAGGGGAACGGATGGCAGGAGAGGCCCTTCTTCCTCATCCAAGACACAGGGTGGTTGGGGCTAGGAGTTTAGACCCTCTAGCCCTGGGAGAAGAGTGGGTAACAGCCATCTGAGTGGTTTTCTGCAGACCCTCCTCAAAGACCACCCACTGTCTCAGTTCCCCTTGAGTGGGTTGGGCAGTTCTGGAACTTCAGGGACTCAGGAGTGGCGTGGAGCTGGCTGCAATCACAGCAGGGCCTGGCCTTGTACCCCGCCTCACACAGGGGGGCCGCACACCCAGTTGCCCTGCTTCTGCTTCTTGTCTCCCTCTGTCTAGCTTCCAGGGCCGGGGGCAGGCCCCTGCCGACGGTCAGGCCTCTATGCCAGTGAGGGTTCCTGTGCCCACCAGACCTGCAGTCACCGTGCTTTGTGCTCTTGGCTGCTGTGCTGGGGCAGAGTGGGATGCCAGTAAGGGTAGGGGGTGCAGTCTGAGGCCAGCACCCCCCAACTGGAGAAAGGAGAGGCCTCCTGAAGCTGCTTAGTCAGGGGTCCTTGTCCTGATGGGCTTCCTACTGTGCCCTTCCCCAGGCCTGAAGGCCTAGTGGGGCGGAGCATAAGGCTAGTATTGGAGTGTGGAGGTGACTGAGCAGAGATCATGAATAGCTCAGAGCAGTGAATGGAGCATCCAGAGCAAGGCCGCGGGGAGTGGCTTTAGCCAGGATTGCCTTGGCCCCTCCCCCTGGGGGTGGAGGGTGGGGAATCTCAGCTCTGCTGTCCCTCACCCCCATGCTAGCCTAGCTTCCCAGGCTGTTCTCAGAGGAGAGCAGATTCCTGCCTCCTTCCTCCAAGATAGCAAGTCTGGGACAACCTGAGGTGGGGGGTAGGGTCACCCCACTCCCAATCTCTGACAGAGACTAAAGCATCGCTTAATAAAGACCCCTGGTGCCCACACTTGTCTCCTGGTACCTTTCTGTACAGTTTTATTGGGATGTTGGAGATGGTATGCAAAAAATGGCATTTTGGAAAGGTTTATTTAAGGTAGACTCATTGAAGCAAGATGTTGGCAATTCCAGCAAAAGCTCCAGAGATGGTTTTGTGACATTGTCAGGGTCATTGATCTTGTGAACTGAGTTGGTGCCTTCAAAAGGGTGATGGGTGAAGCCAATATTTTGAAGGCCACAGTGCTTCCTGGGTTTGGTTGGCTATCTCCAGCTGGGTCCTCCGAATCAGATAAACTCTTCCTTAGGGGGGAGGAAGGGATGAGCCTTGAGAGGAGCCTTAATCCTATGTCTCCGCAAGGACTGGCACCTCAAGTGTGTCTCTGGAGGGTAAGCTTGGCAAATCCCTTGTGCTTGAACCAACATATCTGCTAAAGGCATTTGCTCCAGACACTGCTGAGTACCAGGTGCTAGGAGGTAGTGAAGCACAGTGAGGTAGTTCCTGAAGTCCAAACGCAGGGTTTAGAAATCTTTGCCCAGCCTGTGGCAGAGCTCACTGTCAGCTCCTGATTGAACCAGAATGGTGGTGGGGCCTGTTCTAAAGGGGGCTTGCAACACACTAGCTGCATCCCAATGGGCCACAGCCTGTTCTGGCCAGTCTGATCTCAGTGGGTGTGAGTCAGCTGGAGGGGCGACTGTGCAGAAGGCCCAGTGAGCTGCCTGCTAATGCGTTTGGGCCACCCTCTGTTCCCTGGAGGCTGCACAAGGCTGGGATTGTTCCTGGCTCCCCTTTGTCTCCCACTCCCCACCCAGGCCAGGCCAGCTGGCCTGCCACGCTCTTCTCCCTCTTCTTGGCCTGGCTGGCAGGAGGACCCCGGGGCCTGCTGACCCGCCTGCTTAGGATCGCCAGCCAAGCTCTGGGTAAGGAAGAACTCCCCTAGGACTCTGCCATCCATTCTGGGGAGTTGGGACCCGCTCCAGCCGCCCCACCCCCACCATCTCCAAGACTACAGCAACACACACTCTACACAGACCTCTAAACCCTGTGTTAAGCAAAGGGACCCTGAGGGCAGCTAGAGCCCAGGCAGCAGCATCTTTCCCACACCTCCCCCAGGTCACTGGGCAGCACTTGGGATGAGTCAGACCACCCTGATCCTGCTCCTTTTGAGGCTCTTACAACTTGACCAGGGTGCAGGGACTAGGGTCCAGGGTTTTCTGGTGCCCTGTCCAGCCCAGCCCAGCCCAGCCCAGCCCAGGAGCACTGAGCCCCCAAACTGGGGGTCAACCAACTGGTGGTGTGAGGCCCACTGTACACCAGTGAAGCTGGCAGCAGGAAGAGGAGTAGGGCTAGACTCTAGGGTTACAGTAAAGGTTTGGCCCTAAGAGATGGCGGGGAGTGTCCTTTTCTCCCTCCTTCTGGGGTGGTTCCACCGACCTGGCAGGCCCAGCCACTGTCACCCGGAGGCAGCACACAGGTCTAGGGTGGAGGGGCCTGGGGCTCAGGAGGGCCAGGGACCCTGAACATCTCCAGGGGCACATGTCTCCTCAGAGAAGAGCCAGGCATCTCCCTAATTCCTTGACCCTGGCATCTGGCCCCTTCAGGAATTCTCCCTCCGAGGACCAGGAGTTTTCTGTGCTCAGCCTGCACACTGTGGGCCAAGGGCTTTCGGTGGTGGGGGACAAGCTTGGTTGGGCTCTCTGTGCGCTGACCTCCATGAGTTAGGCTTCTCCTAAGACGGAACTGGGGCTTGGGGACCTCTACCCAGAGTCTGGGGTTACTAACAGGCAGCACTCCCTCTGGGGAGGAAGCCCCTCCACTCTGCTGGGCTAAGGCTGACCAGCCACCCAATAGGGAAACTGGATGCCCCCAGGCTAGGATCGGGAGCAGTCAGGGAAGCTGGGCCAGCCTCCCCTGGCTTGAGGAAAGCAGCTTGGCAGCCAGCTACCAGCTACCCCAGCACCCCAGCACCCCTACACACACAACCCACTGGGGCACTCAGTGACCAGGTGTAGCCTGGATCTGGGGAAAAGGAATCAATGAATGCGTGCAGACACCTGATTTCCCCCACCCCCGCTCTGCCTCTAGGTCAATGTGGAGGTGTCCAGCCACCATACACGGTCTCAAGCTACCCCAACTCCTTCGAGTCCACCAGGTCCCCCGGGTGAGGAACTACCCTCTCCAACTCCTACTTCCCAGGGGACTGACTGGGGCTGAGGCTCTTCTCTTTCAGCAGTGGGGAAGTTCCTCCTGCAAGCCAACTCTTGTCTCTCCCATTCCAGTGTGAGACTCTGAGGAGAAGCCTGTGACACCATTCCCTAGGCCCAGAATTCTCCTTCAGTCCCCTTCCCCAGAGCACCCTGTCTTCGCCCCTTCTGCTGACTTCTGTTTCTCTTCTGCTTTCGGGGTGTTGGAACCTGTGCTAAGAGGGAGTCAGCGTTAGTTTGGTTTGGGCCATTGCGACCTCCAGCCCATTCTCTTTAATCCTGCTTCCACAGCTCTCTCCTGGAGAGAGCTGATCCAGCGTAGTCACCCCGCTTCCCACCCACCACTAGGTGTTCTGGGAAGATTGCATCATGTCTGGCTACCGCAGTCCCACCAGCCTGGCCTTGGACTGTGTCCTCAGCTCCTTCCAGACGACCAACGAGACTGTCAACATCTGGACTCGCTTTCTGCCCACCTGGTGAGGAAGGCTGTCCCCGGCGCTGGTGGGCATCGAGCCCCCCCCTCCGCGGCCCTACTGGTGCTTGCGGGGGGGGGGGGGGGGACGGGCTTCCGGGCGGAGCCCTACCGCCGGCCGCTGCGCGTCTTCCTGCTGCCCGCCTGTCTGTACCCTTTCGCCTCGTGCTGTGTGCACACCTTCAGTTCCATGTCGCCCCGCGCGTGAGGCACATCTGCTACTTCCTGGACTATGGCGCCCTCAGCCTCTACAGCCTGGGTGAGCCCCGCGGGAGACAGGGGCGCGGGACAGCGGGTGCTAGGGAGGGGGAGAGGAGGGTGGGACGAGTCCGGAAGGGGGTGGGCTGTTCCTTCCAGAGCACGCCCTTCGGGCCTCGGTGCCTGCCCCGCGCCCCTCAGGCTGCACCTTCCCCTATGCCGCCTACTGCATGCCGGCCTCCTGAGGCTGCACAGCCGCCTGCACTGGCTCTTTGTGCCTGCCGCCGCACTCAATTCCTTCCTGTGCACCAGCCTCTCCTGCTACTCCCCGGTGCTTTCTTGGACTGTGTTGAAGGGGATGACAGAGGGACAGAACAGGGCGCCCACAATCACACTTGCCAGTTGGGATCTGTGGGAGGCCAGCAGTCCTGTGCCTGCGCTTCAGTCTCTGGAACAACATAGAGAGCAACAGGATCATTTATTGAGACTGACTGTGTGCCAGAGCCTGTGTGCTAGCAGCATACCTGCACTGTCTCCTTTAATTCTCCCAGCCACCTAAGAGGACAATGTCTTTACCCCCATTTTGCAGATGTGGTCATTTAGAGAGGGGGCACACGTCACTAAGCTACAATGACATTCCACCTTAGTCAGTGGCCCCCTGCCTTTCTCTGACCCCCACCCTAGCACCAGGATGGTGACCAGCTTTTCCTTCCTGCCTCCCAGGTTCCCTGAGCTGGAAAGCCCTGTGCTTAGTAAGATCCTCCGTACAGGAGCCTTTGCCTACCCCTTTCTGTTTGACAACCTCCCACTCTTCTATCAGGTAAGGGCGCCTGGGACCCCTGCCCAGGCTCCTGTTTTCCTGTCCTGGGCCTCACAGTGCCCCTTCCAGTCCTGCCACCTCAGTCCTTCACCTCAGCCCTGCTGCCCTCTCTCCAGGCCCAGCACCCACCCTGGCTGTGCATTCCCCAAGCCCCCATTCTCACTAGATCCCAGACAAACCCCTTCCGTTCCACCCTGCTTTTCCTTTGCCAGCTGGGACTGTGCTGGGACAGGGGCCACAGCTGTGGGCAGGAGGCGCTGAGCACCAGCCATGGCTACCACCTCTTGTGCGCCCTGCTCACTGGTTTTTCTCTTCACCTTTCACCTGCCTGAGCGGCTGGCGCCAGGGCGCTTTGACTATGTCGGTGAGAGCAGGCCCGCCTGGCCCAGAAGGGGAAATGGGAGACAGCTCCCCAGAACACAGAGTGAACTGAGTAAACGGTGTATTACAGCCAGAGGACTGGAGGGTCCTCAGGGTCCAGGCCCACCCCCACTTCTCAGAGAGCAGCAAAAGTAGTAGCATGTATGCCAGGGCATGTGTTTTATATATACCAGCTCAGTCATTCTTTCCAAGAATCAGGTTTTCTTACTCCTAATTTTAGGATAGTAGCAGGCCCAGAGGGTGGGGTGACTTGCCATGGGTCAGAGGGTGAATTGGGGCAGCCCTAGCAATGGGGATGTGTCCTGACCACCCACCCTCCCCACAGGCCACAGCCATCAGCTGTTCCACATCTGTGCAGTGCTGGGCACCCACTTCCAGCTGGAGGTGGTGCTGGCTGATATGGGATCTCGCCAAGCCTGGCTGGCCACGCAGGACCCCCACCTGAGCCTTCAGTGGCTTAGCAGTGGCTGGGAACCTGCTCATCATTGCTGCCTTCACAGCTTCCCTATTCCGGTCCCCCAGTGCTTGCCCCCTGCTGCAGGGTGGCCCACTGAGGGGGATACGAATGCCAAACAGCAGTGAGTGAGGCCTCATTGCTGAGCCTGTCCCTGGAAGGAGGCAAAGGCCAGGCCTTGGTGTTGGGGAGTAGCCCAGACCCAGAGCTGAAAAAGTGAGAGCACATCGGAGCCTGGAACCGAGAGGGACTGAGGGGAGAGTGCAGCTGATAAAAGGCAGAGAAGGGGGAGGAGCTGGAGGGGCTGGTAGAAAGCAGGGCGTCCGTGGGGGTGCTCTTGATGGGGCTTGAGGAAGTGCTGAGGGTCTGAGAGTAGGGGTGACTTTGTCCAAGCTGGAGAGCCCCCAACCCAGCAGAGGCTGAGATGGCAGGGGGCCCTTTCATCTAGTCCTATTTCTGGTGCTCCTGGAAGTCTTTGCCCAGTCCAAGGAAGAACCAACATGACCAGCCTAGGCCTACCCCGAACGCTCGTCAGCCAGGCCAGGAGGCCCACTACTACCCCTGCTCCCAAACCAGGCAGTGCCTTCTGCTCTCCTTGCCTGTAGCAATGAGTCTCTCCTGGCCACAGTCACGTACTCGAGGTGTCCAGGCCTTTGGGGCCTGGGTCTATTTGGGTGCGTCATGGATGGTGCAGTTGGCTAGGGTGAGGGGAGGATGCTGGGTCAGAGGGGAACCCCAGTTAGACTTTAGAAAGCCACTTCAATGCTTCTGAGGCAGGTACAAATAAAAAAAATCAGACTTTGGAAAGCACTTTTTGGGACTCACCACACCACATTGTGTCAGTAAACCTCCACCCCCCAACTCCATAGATGGACAGAGTCAGAACCCACCAATTCCTCTTCTGGAGTTTATTCTGGAGCAGCTGGGCGGATGGTGACCCCACACTTGTAGGGCAGGGAGGTCAGGGCGAGGGGAAGAGAAAGGGTCATGGAGAAGAGCCAGAGTGGGAAGTGGGTTGGGGGGCCAGCAGGGGTGCAAGCTCTAGGCTGTGCCGTAGAAGCGCCAATAGGCCTCTTGGAAGCCGATGTGGTCAGCCAGCTCGTCGCAATCCGGATTGAGCTCACACACCTCCCTCTTGGGCTCCAGGGGGTCTGGGTAGGGGGCTGGGGCTCTGAGACCCAATACAGTTGCATCAGCCTCCACACAAAATGCCCACCCCTCCCACTGCTCCGGAGTCCTCCCCGGGGCCCACCCTGTCCTCCCGGCACCTCTTTTCTCTCACCCCAACCCGTGATCCAGGTAGCGCCGGAGTCTCTTCACTACCTCACTGCCCTCCTGCTTGGACATGAAGGCTGTGGAGCACAGGGGCATGGGGTCAGGTGGCTGTGAGTTTGGGGGGATGAGGAAGGGGGCAGGCTGGCCTTTCTGACAGCCAGGCAGGAGCCAGCAGGGTGGGGGGGATGAGATGGGGACCAGGGTGAGGGAGTGCTGGGCGGCTGAGTGATATGGCACACGGCCCCCGTCAGGCCTGCCTCCTACCTGCACCTCTGCCAGACTCTGCACCGCTGGGCTTTGCATCTGCAATGAAAAGAAGCTTGGTTCACCCCTAGGCCCCCCTCCTCCCCTCCTGCTCTGGCAGTGTGCTCCTTCCCCTCTCCCTCCACAAGGACAGGATTGGGGGCAAATGGACTGAGCCTCTGGGAGGGTGGTTAGACTGCCAAAGGGACTGCCAGTGGAGGGGGGAAGGGAAGTGAGGCGCTGGCGTTCCCTTCCTCACTGGCTGGGGCGGCGGAGTCAGGGACACTCACCTGCCTGGCCAGCAAGGGCGAGTGCGGCCAGGGCCAGGAGGGCGAGGAGCATGAGGGGCCTCATGGTGTCTCAGAGCCTGTGTTCGGTCTGCTGCTGGGACTCAGCTGGCCTGTTTCCATCAGCCACCAGCACCATTTATACTCTCTGGGCTGTGCCCTGGAGGCCAGGGTGGGTCACAGGGGAATCTGCCAGAGCTATTTGGAGGTCATCCGCCCAAGATCTATAGGCCAAACCCCAAAGGATGTTGTGGTTGGAGCTGGGGCAGCCTAGACAGGCCCCGAGAGTGAAGGGTGGGGGGTGGTAACCAGGATTCCCAGCCTCTAGATGTCCTGTCCCCCACCCCTCCCTAAGGGGTCACCCACAGTCCCCCAGTCCCTACTCACTCCCTCTTGGAGACCCAACCTCAGCTTCAGTTTAAGCACCAGCTGAACAGACCAGGAGGGGTGTCGGGGGCCCCTTCCCAGAGAGGAAGGGGCCCAGATGTCCAAAATAGATTGGAGCAGAGCTGGGCTACAGCTCTGCAGATTGTGATTTCCACTGTCAGCCATGGGCAGGAGCCAAACCCCAGGGAGGAGTGCCCAGCGATGGCCTCGCTCACCCCGGAGACACCAGAGGCAGGCCTGGTGTAGGCCAGCTTCACTCTGGTCAGGCCCTCTGTGTCGGGACAGGAGAAATGGTCAGGCAGCACAAGGCCAAGCGCTAAAAGCCAACACAGGTAGGGCTGGTTGGGCATGAGATTAAGGACAGCCCTTCGTGGGGCAGGCCAAGTGGTCGATGTGGTGGGGGCACCCTCCTCTGTGCCTCTGAGGAGCAGGAGGATGGAGAGCACCTCCGGGCTCATGCCCCTCTCTTGCCCCTGCAGCCTCCCCAGTGTGGAAAGCCTGGGAGGCCTGTCCTCCAAGGGATAGGACATCGAGCCTGAAAAACCCTGTCCCACACCTGAACTCTGCCTCTGCCTCAGATCAGTCTGGACAGGAAGGGAGGGTGGCCCCACTCCCTGGTGGCTGGGCAGGTTGAGGACTGCGGATCCAGGGGCAGAGAAAGGGCCATAGGCTCAATTTAGGGGTTGGGGCAGGGGTGCAAGCAGGGTCCACCTGGTACCTTCCTGAGTGTCCCAGGACTCCCAGATAGGCCCACCCATACCTCTCTCCATAGAGTTAGGGTGAGACCCTTACCAGGGAAAAAGTCTGGCCCGCTCATCTTCTCCTCTTCACTTTGTGGTCTGGAGGAAGCACCCACCCCACTGTTGCTGGGCCCTCCTGGTGCTCTGCTGGCCCCAGCTGAGTGAGGTGTGAGACCCCAGAGGACTAAGCGCCCAGCTATGTGGAGGGCTGTATGTGTGCACTGACCAGATGTGGACACAGCGGCCCGCCATGGGCCCTCTCTCAGAATTAACGCAAACTGGAAAAGAGAAGAGTAGGCTCTTCCCTGAAAGCTTGTCCCGGCTCAAGGAACTCAACTCAGGGGTCCTGGTTTCCATGACAAGGGCCTTCATTGCCCTTCTGCACGTGATGGTCAGATACATGCCTTCGACCCAGCCAAGACTGGCAGCTCTCAGTGGGCTGTGATGGAGGCCATAAGGAGCCCAAACTCAGGAGCCAGGAGGGGTCTCAGCCCACAAGTGCCCCAGGCAGAGGAAGCATCCTCACAGATTATAGTGCAGTGCAGGAAGTTTATTTACGGATGTGGAGAGTACATGGCAATCAGTGGAGATTGAAAACAGATTCCCCAAGCCAGGTCCCAGGGAGGGCCCAGGAAGAGGCAGGGATGTGTGGGGTGGGGTGGAGGTAGGTGTCGGCCAGAACCTAGAGGAGAGAAGGCATGATGGCTGATTCCCAGGTGGGACCCGGCCAAGAATTCTCGTTATAAGGAAACAGAGGAATCTGAAGGTGTGTGTGTGTGTGTGTGTGCGTGCATGCACGCGCATGTGACACCTTGAGTCCCAAGGCACAGTGGCAGTGGGGACTGCTCAGATGTCGTCCCCCAGCAAATTCCATCCCTGCTTAGGGGTGGGGCAACGTTTTAGCTGTTCTCAGGGGCAGCTTGCCACAGGATGACTTTGACCTTGACCACCTTTTGCTCCTGGGCTTGGCTATCTTCCTCTTACTCAGACTCCCTCAGCACAGCCACCAGTTCTTTCTGTCCTCTGTGGAGAGCCTGCCACTGGTGGGAGAGAAGACACATTTGGAGAGGAGGAAATCCAAACCCTTCCCATCTACTGTCCTTGCCCACAGGCCGGGGTTCCCCCAGAATGGTATGGGTCTGTAGCTCATGTCACAGACTCAGCATGGCATGTGCAGAAGTCCGCTCCCCGCCCCACTTAGCAGGGGCTTATAGCAGGCTGGGTGCCTTGGCGACCTAGGCTGGGCCTCTCCAGAGTCGGACCCATCTTCAATAAGAGCCCCAAAGCATGCCCCTCACCCTCTGACCTCTGTTGGTCTGTTTGCTCAGCTGCAGCGGGGGAACGGGGCCGAGGGCGGGGCCAAGGCACTCACCTGCCAGGCCTGCCACTGGGCCTGGCCCTGCAGCTGCAGCTCCTCCACCTGCCTGCGCCCGGCCAGGACGGCGCCTGCCAGTTGCCTGTTCTCAGCCTCCTGTTTCCGCACACAGCGCTGCAGGGCATCCCGCTGCTGCAGGAAGTAGGGCATCAAGGTGCTGCGCAGGTCTTCCTCCGGTTTCCCACTAGGGCGCCTGGAGGGCAGCAGGGAGCACGGGATGGGACGGGAGATGGGGGACAGCGTGGGGTGAGGGCTCACTTTCAACTCCAATCAGTGACATTCCCACCTCCAATCTCAAGTTGGACTGACTTTCAAGGTCTCTCCTTGGGTCCCTCTCACCTCCTAAGACCCAACTGCATAGCTTGTGCTCCTGATAAAAACGCTAACCTCCTGCCCCTCAACCTTGGTGCCCAGGAATCCACTTCCCCCCTCACTCTGCCAGTAGCCTCACCTTCCCAGCCGTACGCACACTCTCCTCCTCCTGTCCACATACACTCCCCATCTCTAACACTCCAGGGCTGGAGGTGACTTTTCAGCATTTGCGTCTGTCCTACTGACCAAGCTGGAGAGGTGTGGGGGTGGTGGTGGCAGGATGAGCCCTCCCAGATGAAGTGGCTGCCTGACAGTAGGCTCAGACCTGGGGAGACCCTGGTATGAATGAGCTAACAAGCAAGTATAAGGAAAGACAGGTCTGGGGAGGCAAGATTATAGGTGCTTCTGAATGTCCAGAGAGGAGATGGGTCAGTTCTGACAGGCAATGGGGTAGAAGCCACTGTAGGTTCTTTAAAATTTTTTTCCAAGCCCTGGCTGGTGTAGCTCAGTGGATTGAGCGCAGGCCTGAGAACCAGACAATCACGGTTCGATTCCCAGTCAGGGCACATGCCTGGGTTGCAGGCCGGTTCCCTGCAGGCCAGTTCCCAGCAGGGGACGCATGAAAGGTAACCATACATTGATGTTTCTCTCCCTCTCTCCTTCCCTTCCCCTCTAAAGATAAATAAATAAAATCTTAAAAATTTTTTTTTCAGTTTAAAAACTTAATTTTTAAAGTATTAAGGTCACAAAGCATTAAAGGAATTGGAAAGCACAAAAAGTGTTTTATTCCCTCTGGCCTAGCATCTTATTCAGGTGGAAGGGGTGGCAGGAGCTCAGGCCTCGGCTCTCCTCTCGTCTCAGGGCCTCTTCTCCTTCCTGCACAGGGTACTCCAGGCGGCAGGGCTACCTACTGAAATGCCACCTCAAGGGGGAGTAGGTCTTCTGTGTCTTGTTCACTGTTAACTCTTAGGCATCTAAAACAGTACTGGGTGTACAGTTCGTGCTCCCTAAATATCTGTTGAATGAACAAATGCATAAAAACCAGACGTCTGGGCCAGCCTAACGAACATAAGACTCCAAGCATTCTATTCTGTCACCTCCTACACCCCTCCCTCCCTGCCTTTTCTCCCACAGGCTAGATAAACCCTGAACCACCCCCAGGAAGGTTTTCTCGGTCCGCCACAAACCCTGGACAGTGTGTGCCTACCTCAGGACTCTCTTCCTGCAGAGCGGGCTATGCACTTCACTGTTTCGGGTTACTATCTGGTGCCTGCCCTCTCTACCTGTCCCTGTCACAGGGTCCTCTCCATGAGCCCAGAGTCTCATGCATATGGTCCCATCACAAAAGCTCCTTCAAGATCCTAAAATACTCCCTGTTCCTCCATTAGCCCTCCTGTAGCCCTTTCTCACCAGGCAAGCTCCTTGCGGTCTTTGCCTTCTTCCGCAATTGTATCCAAAGCGTTCAAGACAGCCTCCAGGTTGCCCTCTGCTTTGATGTCGGAGATCTCCTCCTGAAGAGAGGAGAAAGCTACAATGTGACTGCACAAGCCAAAGTGGAAATATGCTAAATTGCTAACAGTACTTAGTAAAATTTGGGCTAAATTCTATTGTCTTTTTACACAAACATTCCAGTTTCTCTACATGTGACTTTTACATAAAGAAAATAAAGGACAATATGGGAAACATTTTAAAAGAGCCTGCAGTGCACTAACAAGTGTGGCTCAGTTGGTTAGTTGTTATCCAGAAAAGCAAAAGGTCTCCAGTTTGATTCCCAGTCAGGGTGCACACAAAAGACAACTAATCAATGTTTCTCTCTCACATCAATGCTTCCCTCCCGCTCTTTCTCCCTCCCTTCCCCTCTCTAAAGATAGATAAAATCTTTTTTTTATTTTTTAAAAGATTTTATTTATTTATCTTTAGAGGGGAAGGGAAGGAGAGAGGGAGAGAAATATCAATGTATGGTTGCCTCTTGTGTGTCACCTGCCAGGAACTGGCCTGCAACCCAGGCATGTGCCCTGACTGGGAATCGAACCTCGATACTCTGGTTCGCAGGGCCACGCTCAATCCACTGAGATACACCAGCCAGGGTTAAGATAGATAAAATCTTAAAAAAAAAAAAGAAAGAAAAAGAGCTTGAAACAATCAAAAAATATATTTTTCAAAAGAGCCCACAGCAAGCCTTTCCTTCTGCCCATCATTTGAGCACCAGAGGCCTTGCCGTTACCCCAACATCCTTGCTGGTACCACACTCGGGTGCTTAAGAGGCCCATCCTGATGTGTAACAGCAGGGCAGGTTAATTCTCAAGAGAGATCATGAAGGGAATACTGTCTTTTTTCGTATTCCCTCTAGCACGCAGTTCCATTGGATTCAACAATCTGTTAAAGGCCTCCTCTGGGCCAAGCACTGCACGGGGTGTTGAAGACAGAGGAGTATGACCCAGTTGTGCTCTCGCTGAACTCACAGGTCTGGTGGGCAGATAACGTATAAACACAAAGTTACAATACAGAACAAGGGGCATTTAAGACACCCACATTGTTGAAGGGAGGGACAATTGCCACTTCAGCCTGATGCACACAAAGGACAGTTATAGGACCTGAGGATAGAAGGGGGGTGATGGCATGGAGGCAGGACCCAAGCCAACAGTACCTGCTGGGCTTCCTGCCACTCACCCGGACAGATGTCTGCAGCTGGGTCATGAACTTGTCATAGATTCGCTGTGTCATCTCAGGTTGCAGCTGGTAAAAGCACTTGTAACAGTCTGTGAATCTCTGGTAGCTGGTGGGAAGGAGAGAAGGCAGAGGTGGGGAGGTTCACACACACAGTCGGTCATCATCATCAACTTTTGCTTGGGCGCCCCTGCCCGCCATCACAGGACTCTGGGCCACGTCTTCATTGCCCTGGTCATGAGCAGTGCCATCTGCAATGCCAGTCGGTCACTGCCGACGGCTCACCCTCCCTGGTCTTCACCAGTCTCCCCGTCTCCCCTCTGCAGAGTCCCAGCTGAGTTCAGGCATTCCCCTTGAAGGGTGAGTCACAATTAGTCCAGCCACATTTTGTGGTTCCTATAACTTCACTGAGCATCAAATCACCAAGAGGGCTTTTTAAAATTTAGGTTGCAGGGCCTCATCCCAATGGTGTCTTACAAGCTCCCCAGTGATGCCCGTTTTGCCAGGCTGGGCACCATACTGGGCGAACCTTGGTCATTCCAGCCCCTTTCAAGGCTGGATTAGGACAGGGCATGTGGCCTCTGGGAGAACTTTCCTTGTTCCTAAAAAGCAACCCAGGAAGGAACTGATGCCTTTCCCACAGCCTGGGACTATGTTCAGGTGATGCCAAGTGCTTACAACCACGGAGGTCCAGCCTGAGGGCAGAGTTTACCCCCAAGGAGGCTGAGCAGAAAGAGGGAAGAACTGGGGTCTCTGAAGATACTGTCAAACTGCTGAAAACAGCACCTGAAGCCACCCCTACCTTGGGGCTTCCTGTTAGTGAAGAAATGGATTTCTCTTGTGGTTTAAGTCATTTAAAATAGGCCTCTGTTCCCAGCAGCTGAGAGCGCCTCATTGATACATCCCTTGTATCCAAAGGCACTCGGGACACTCCCAGTGGCTGTTCCTCTCGGACAAAGAAACCAAGTGAGTCTGATGGACTCCCCTGGCCATCTTTTCCCCTCTTTCAGGACCTTGACTGAGTGCCCGCTGGGTGCTGGTCGCCCACCAGGCACTGGGCGGTGTTGCCCCCGGAGCTTCCATCTCCCCTAGGGGTGTCCAGCCTTCTGGTGTCTCTGGGCCACAATGGAAGAGCTGTCTTGGGCTACACATTAAATACACAACACTAACAAAGACTGATGAGCTCAAAAAAAGATTGATGACTCAAGAAAAAAAGGGGGTTTGAGTAAATTGATGATTTTGTGTTGGGCCACATTCACGGCCATCCTGGGCCTCACGTGGCCCGCAGGTTGGACACCCCTTGGAGAGATGGCAGCGAGCAGCTAACCCCACATGTGAATGTGGTGGTGACCACTTCTGGAGAGCGCCTCTGGGATTACAGAACTAGGCATGTATCATGGGGATCGTCTTGGGGATCTTCCCTGTGTGGGGGAGGAAGTTGGGGGACACAGTGAAGGCCTCTGTGATGAGGCAATGTTCCAGTGACCTACAGAAAGGAGGAGTCCTCAAAGGCTCTGAAGCTGCCCAGCAGTGCATGGCAGGCTGGCGGACCACCAGACAAACAGGACCAGGTACTTGGGGCCCAATGCACAGCCCCCACTTCCTTCCGCACACAGGGAGTTACTGCTCGGTCTCCCTTTCCCATGGCTCTCTAGGCTCCCCACCCTACACAAAAATTCCTTCCGCGTAGCAATGTTTTCTGAAACAGGTGAAGAGTAAGAGCAGTAATGGGCCGAATGGAGCCAGCTCACAGCAGCTTGCCAGAGATATTGTTACATTTTCAAGAAGTATGTGTGAACCAGTTGTTAAATACAGCCATTGTTGACAATTAAATTTTATAAACTTACAATAAACTATGTTAAAAACAGGTACTGCTAAACTAGTCAAAACATACAGCCTCCCACTTACTCTAACACACTTTGCTCTGCCCTGGAGGCTGCCGCCTGCTGCCGTGTCTGCAGGAGCCCCACGCACAGACGTGCTGCTGTGCTGCCGTCCGCTTCCTCCCGCTCTGCACACGGTGACACGGCGGTGGGAGCGATCGGGAGTGTTCACACCTCGGAAACTGCCAAACACTGGGCACCGGGGCTTTATTTTGAGAGCTGGTTGTAAGCACTGAGCAGCACACCTCTGGGTAAGGTGACATCTCTCACCTTTTTGGCAATACACATTTGATGTCAGCACCCACTGGACGGTGACCTAGTCACAAAAGGGCAACACAAAGAACAGACAGTCTTTGACGCTCAGAGTCCCAGACGCCTTGTCTTGCTGCCAGCCCCACTAGCCACGCAGTCTGTGGCCACACAGAGGGTGTGGGGGGCACATGATGCCTGGCGAAGCGGGGCTGCAATCAAAACCAGGTCATTGTGGCTGGAAATGGGTTTGGCTGGGACACAGGAGATCCTGCTCCTCCTCCCAGCCCACTCGGCAGGCGGAGGGTCTGAGCTGGACACATCTCTCCTTGGTCTAGGCAGCGAGCAGTGGAAGAGGCCCAGGGCAGGGCGAGAGCAGTTCTGCACACTGGTGCTGCCCACAAACTCTTCTGGTGCCCCTTTGGGGTCTGAGGACCCTGTGAAAGTGAAGGGCCCCAGAGGCACACACATTCGTGTAAGATGGGGAATGTTGCTGTAAACACTAAGAGGGAAGGCAGCCAAACTGGAGGCCAATGTCAGTCAGCAAAGCGATTCTTTTCCTTTTTTCCAGCTTTATTGAGATGTCATTGATGTCCAGCACTGTGTAAGTTTAAGGTGTATAGCATAATGATCTGACTTACATGTATTATGAAATGATTACTACAGTAAGTTTATTAGCTAACACCCATTATCTTTTGTAAATACAAAAAAAAAGAAAGAAATTAGAAAAAAGTTTTTTCCTCATGATGAGAACTCTTAGGATCTACTGTTACTAGCTGTCAAATACACCACCACACAGCGGTGTTAACCAAAGTCATCATGTCGTACATCACATCCCTTCAACTTATTTATCTTATAACTGGAAGCCTGTACATCTGACCACCTTCATTCAATTTCCTCTCCTCCTATCCCCCAGCGATTCCTTTGAGAGCCAATTCAGACTTGGGAATGGTTTGAATGCCCTTGTGAACTTCCTGAAAAAATATAATCAGGGAAGCACAGAAAAGGTGAAGTACTTCAGAAAATATTCATGACCATACAGCCCCCCCCAGAACTGCCCATCCGTCCTCTCCTGTAAACTGCAATAGTCTTGTGGATAGGGATGCCGTCCACAATGTCACGGTCATCTCCGGGTTTCCCAGAACAGTGCTGGATACATAACAGCGCACAAAACGTGACGTACGTAGACCAGGCGTCTGGGACTGAGGTGAGGCCGGTCCCCCTCCCGGCCATCTCCCCTACCTTGGACCCCCAGTGCACCAAGGCCTGAGTTACGTGGGTAGAGGAATACTCCCCCAAGAGCATCCTCAGAGGACTATCCAGCAAGCACCCCTTTGTCCTCTGCTGGAGTGCTCTTCCAGACCTGGCCTTCCAGGACTGCATAAGGGGCCACCCAGCTAGGCACTGGGTGAGTACACTGGCTCTGAGGACAGGCTGCCTGGGTTCAAACCCTGCCTCTACCACTCACCAGGTAAGTGACCTTGGACAACTGCTTTACCTCTAAAGCTTCAGTTCCTCCTTCGTCAAATGGGGCAACAACTGTCTATAACTCATGAAACTACTGTGAGGATTAAGTGATGTTACATATATAAATACAGTTCACGGCACATTGAAATGCTCCACGTTAGCCACAATTACTATTACTAGTCTTAAAAGAACAATCTTCACCTGTTCCTTTTAAAAATATATATTTTTTAATATTTTATTTATTTATTTTTAGAGGGAGGGGAAGGGAAGGAGAAAGAGTGGGAGAGAACATCAATGTGTGGTTGTCTCTCATGTGTCCCCTGCTGGGAACCGGCCTGCAACCCACGCATGTGCCCTGACTGGGAATGGAACCAAGTGACCCTTTGCTTCACAGGCCCGTGCTCAATCCACTGAGCTACACCAGCCAGGGCTTTAAAATATATTTTATTATGTCATTACAGTTGTCCCATTTCCCGCCCTTCATTCCCCTCCACCCTGCACAGCCCTCCCCCACCATCCCCCCTTTAGTTCATGAACATGTGTCTCAAGTTCTTTATATTCTATATTTTCCATACTATTCTTGCCCTCCCCCCTATCTATTTTCTGTCTACGGTCTATGCTACTTATTTTCTGTACCTTCTCCTTCTCCTACTCCCCTGTTGCTAACCCTCCATGTGATCTTCATTTCTATGGTTCTGCTCCTGATCTAGCTGTCCTCTTAATCTGCTTTTGTTTTAGGTGTGGCTGTTAATAACTGAGTTTGCTGTCCTTTCACTGTTCTTATTTTTTATCTTCTTTTTCTTAGATAAGTTCCTTTAACATTTCACATAATAATGACTTGGTGATGATGAACTCCTTGAACTTGATCTTATCTGAGAAGCACTTTATCTGTCCTTCCATTCTAAATGAAAGCTTTGCTGAATATAGCAATCTTGGATGTAGGTTTTTGGATTTCATGACTTGGAATACTTCTTTCCAGCCCCTTCTTGCCTGTAAGGTCTCTTTTGAGAAATCCACTGACAGTCTGATGGGAACTCCTTTGTAGGTGACTGTCCCCTTATCTCTTGCTGCTTCTAGGATTCTGTCCTTCATTTTAATCTTGGCTAATGTAATGATGATGTGCCTTGGTGTGTTCCTTCTTGGGTCCAACTTCTTTGGTACTCTCTGAGCTTCCTGGATTTCCTGGAAGTCTGTTGCCTTTGCCAGATTGGGAAAGTTCTCCTTTATTATTTGTTGAAATAAGTTTTCCATTTGTGGCTGTTCCTCTTCCTTGTCTGGTGCCCCTATAATTCGGATGTTGGAATGTTTCAAGATGTCCTGGAGGTTCCTAAGCCTCTCCTCATTTTTCTGAATTCTTGTTTCTTCATTCTTTTCTGTTTGGTCATTTTTTTCTTCCTTCTTGTCCACTCCTTTGATTTGAGTCCCAGTTTCCTTTCCATCACTATTGGTTTCCTGTGCATTTCCCTTAATTTCAATTAGTTTAGCCTTCATATGTTCCTCTAATTTGTGA